CGAGCCGACCGCCGTTGAGCTCTCGTTTAATGACAAAATCCCGCTGTTTGTTTGCACAGACCCCAAAATAAGAGTTTTATATCCGCAATAAAACAGAATATATATTCATTGCTGTTCTGCCAAAGGACATGTTTTCACCCCCGAGTGTGTTGGGTGTTAACAAAGCGTAGCAGTTCGGCTCTCGAGTCCTTGCCTCGCATTGATGACATATTACAGACGCGATGCGTGTGAGTGTATACCAATACAACACTTTTTGCTTCACCCGAAAATGGTCTTGGAACAACCACATTGTGCTTTGTTTGCTGTTACCCAGGGCAAACAGTTGACGCAACCAAGATAGCTGTCAAAAAATGTATACAGACGACAAGCAACAAATATTGCTGCAAAACAACTTTGCAAGTTTTTTGTTTGCAGCAAAATGTTTTCACTCGTGTTAAACGTGCAAATTTGTTTGCAGCAATCAACTTGCTGCAAATTGTTTGCATCGTGTGTTTCTAGCTTAATAAAAACATTTGCAGCATTTAAGGGGCGTACTAGTTTTTTTGTGCTCGGGTTTTGGTTCGTGGTAGGAAATTGGACAGGTTTTTGGTTTGTCGGCACTTGTTGCTACGGTCATTTATGTCGCCTGTCAGCAATGAGTGCTCTCTAGATATTCGAATGCTCCTGGTCCTTCTTCTTTCCACGCTTGATACACACACCACACACACACAGCTCCCACTGGCCGCCCACTGACCTCATGAATAATCCGGTTTCCGGCAAAAGGGAGCGCCCAGTCCAATGGAAAACTGGTTTCCAGGACACTCCTCTAACTCCCTAGCCAGGTGAAGACAGGCGGGCAAGTTTATTGTGAAACTAAAATGGGTAAGTCATAAAAAGAACGGCTTTGGTGCTTAACCTTTCGCAGCCCTCTCCACACAAGGGTGCTAAAAATTTCGGTGAAAACAAAAACTTGCCACTTTTCATGGCGAAGCTTTTTTGCTGCAATATGTTGCTGATTATGCCGCTGGGATTAAGTGTCAGTCGGTCCAAAAGCCGTCTACCCAACTGCATAATGACCTTAATCAATTTTCCCAGCAACCCCCGAGGAAGTGCCTCAAACTCGGAAGGTTTCCAGTAGCGCTCAAAACTGTTGCATGTGTCTGCCCCGAGATGGGAATCACTTAGCCCGGAGGGAGCGAGGGTTGGAACCTGGCTCAGCCATCGATAGCGCAGCAATAAAAAAGAAAAGATACTTCAGACCTCTGGTAACCAGAGATGAGTCAACGAGCAACCCTCAACTTGCTAAGTGGACTCATCGTACAGGCCACGCGACTGGGTTAAGGCCCAACCCAACTCCTGGCTAGTTATCATCGACATATGGAAATTCTAGCCGCGTGGAAACTCCGCTTAAGCGCGTGCGGCTTAGGCGCGACTTAAGTTTCCCTTTGACTTTTCACGATGATGTTTAGCTGAAATGAACAGGGCTGGAAATCGTAGGTGCGAGCCACGCACTTGACTTGTTAGCCACGTTAAAAGCGGCTCACACGTGCCTGCAATTAAGGTGGAAAAGGTAACTCAATCCGCAGGTCGGGATGGGTCGTCTCCATGTTAACACAAAATGCACAGGAAATAATTAAGTTGTATAAAGGAAAGAGTCAACTTAAGTCTATAAAAATGTATTTATAAATCTAAAATTAATTCTTCCCATAAAATACAGATCAAACAAATCAAATTTAAATACCAACATTTGATTCCAAGTATCCCATCTTTTTCCCTCTGTGCACCTGAAGTGCGTGTGCTTGGCACCCCAACGGTGTCTTAACCATATAACTGCCAGTCTCTGCAGCAACTACCAGGTTCATTTCCATTAACCGGCAAAGAGGCGTTTAAGTTAATAGCAATGGCCTCCGCCCGCCGCTCCACCGGATCCACTCTGACTTCACCCCACCAACTCGGAGTGGCATTGTAACCGTTCCGGAATCCAGTATCCGGACTCCCCTCCATTAGCGCGTGCCATGCCTCAACCGACGGCGTGTTGCACTTTGGCTTTGCCACTTTTAGTGTTTCATAATTAAAAATGTTGCCGGTGTCGTGTGGTCGCAATGCTCTCCGGTTACCGGTTACCGGCTACCAGCCAAGAGCCACCATCAGCTCATGCAATATTAAGTCACGGGAAGAGAAGAACCCAGACCCCCGAGAGCTGGGACAGGAGCAGAGCGAGACCATCTGCAGCTGGGCCATTTTGTCGCCTGTTTTGTCGCCATTTGCCAAGGTGAAAGTCTTTTTGGGCACCTTTTAATGCGTTTGCTTTTAATTCCGGGCCGTGAGCACTTACGGCCTTGCCCCCAATTTCCCCATCGCCATTCTTTTGGGCCGTGGGCATTCAAAGTAATTGGCAACAAAGCGCTGCGACATGTTTGCCTTGGCTTTCAGCACGTTTTTTATTATGTCTATTATAATTTACTTTATGCATTTGTTTTATATACCTGCTCTTAAGCCATTATGGAAAGGATGCCGGGAAAGACTTGGGCTTGTTAGGGTTTTGTCTTTAGCATTTATGCAATTTGTTAATTTTGGTTTTCAGAAGGATTCTTTTGTATTATAATCTTTTTGTTTTATTTTATTCACACTCATTTAAAGAAAACAATAAATTAAACTTGCTGGAGCATTTTAAAGATGATTATTTATGTGGAATCCATCAATAAGAATATGATACCAAAGGTTAACTCATATTGACGGCAATAAAGTCAAAAGTCATTACGAATCCTTATTTAAAAAATAAATGCCTCAAACGCACTCGGAACAAAAACGAAAAAAAAACCCACAAAACGGCATTCAGAAGAATTTCTTGCTTTAACCAAAAATTAACTGTCAAATATGTTGGTTCAACAATTTTAACACAAAAACTGCTTGTCAGGACAATTGGAACGAGGATAGCAGGAGCTTTTGGGCAGGAAGTGGAGGAGGGAGGTGGTTCTGTTGCCAGAGAAGTGGGCGTGGCAGGCAGCTCTGCGGGCCGTGCAACACAATAACTTTTCAATTTATGGCGCACATTCCATCTGACGGCCATTAAACAATGGGATCCACTCGCCGCACACATTTTCCTATTTTCCGTATTTTTCATTCTTGTTTCAGGTTCTCTCTTTTTTCCTATTCATTTCTTTTTGTAGCACGCTTGGCTTTCGGCTACTTTGCAAAAAGCATTTTGTTCTCTAGCTGATATTCTGTTCTTTTTTATGTTTTTTGTTATTTTTTTGTTAGCAAACAAAAGGCGTGCGCTCTCGTTGGCAGCCATTGAAGCGTCAAGTCCGAGCTGCAAGCTGTCCAAGCGACCACCGACCGGCACCCTTGACCGTAGCTATAAAACGTCACAAAAAAAAGGTTTACGGAGCGAGAATAAAAAATAAAGAAAATAGTTGGATATAGGAATAGGAATAGGCGACAACGACGACATGCCAAGCCCATGTCCAATGTCGGCTGGGGGAAAAGACATGGCCGGGTCCTTGCTTTCGAATTTTGAGTGCTCTCCCCAGGACTCTGGGACCCATCATCAATCGGGTTCGCCTTCGCCTCGTTGAGCCGCCTTTATGTTTATGGACAACCGCCACTCGTAGTCTTGGTCCAGTCTGTATTGTGTCTCAACTGCAACTTCATCAAGCTGCCGGGACCTTGGGGATGATGTGGAACCACCACAACCACTTTGTACACTTGAATCAATATTAATATAACAAGAGAAATTAAGATTAAGATAATCTGATATTAAATCTGAAATTAATCCTAGACTCGGGGTTCCCATTAGCTTCTTTCATTAGGATCGTCCTTATAACAAGTTATGCCTAATTTATAGAAATCCTTTTAATTTTTAAAGGGAAATTAACATATTTATCCTTGGAATATTCTAGATCACCTCAAATCTAGTTTAAGACTCACTAGCATCTTTTCCAAGTGTATTTTGGTTTCAAACTGATATGGAACCAGAGCCAAAAGTGGGAGCAACAGTGGAAATGGCAGAAGAAAAAGGTTTATTGCGGTCTCTATAAAAATACACACTTGGGGTGATTTCCTCCTTTGAAGCTGGCACAAAACGTCCTAGGTGTGGGTGGGATTCTATGATTCCATGGGTTGGGTCTCTACCCCAGACCCCAGCATTGTTGGAGGTTAGGTGGATGGGATGCTGCTCCGTTCGTCTGCTCTAACGACTTCGTTTCGGTGCCCATTTTATTTGCCTGCTCCGAGAGCTCTACTCCAATGTTCCGTACTGTTCTGTGCAGCCATTATCTTGGCTTTGCCTTTATGGTCTTTTGTGTGCGTTTGATGAAGCCAAGATGGCGCAGAAAATGGTTGGCTACGCTCTACGTGGGGGAGGATGGAGTAACTCCATGACCAAAGCCATGGAGCAAGGGGAGCAAAGAGCTATTTCTGCTTTCCAGCCTTCCTGTCTTCCTGCCTTCCTCTCCGCCTGCCCGCCTGCTGTGTTGTTGAATTATCAGCCACAAAAATGGACGTCGCCATATTTATAAAGGGACCAGGAATGGAAACTGTGTGCACATCCTGCGGGTGCGATGGTGTTTGTGCGCTTGTGTGGATGTGAAGGATGGAGCTAAAATCTGTGTGTCGAGCAGTGTGAAATATTGGGACTGTGGATTCAATTTCGACCGAAATTTAAAGAACATTTCACTTTTTACAGCTTCACATTGAATGCCTTAAAAAGCTATTACTTTTTATTCATATTTTAATGATAAAAGAAAATGGTTTTAAGCTGTAAATAAGCGTTTGAAGTGTTTAAGAATAGAAAACTAAGAAACTAGTTAAATAAAGATCTATTTAATATATTTTACACAAAAGTAGTGTTTGTAAATTTGCTAAAAAACATAATAGAAATAAATTTATTTTACTTTATAACTTTACCTGACCAGAATTCCGAACAAGAGAAAGTAAATATTAGGTTTATATTTTATCTTGTAGATTTAATTTAATTTTAACCATACTAAGCATAACAATTTAGAATAAAAGTCTTAGAATAAGAGTAAATGGAAAAAGCCAACTATAACATCGTTTTTTATTCCGTCATTTATTCTAGTTCAAAATGCCTTTCATTCCATGCGTTGTTTCTAAGCATTCGTTATATGCATTGATTTATGGCCTACGTCGGTGGATCTATAAAGTATTATGCAATATATTTTAATTCCTGGCTTCATCTATTTTAAGATTTATGGTCTTACATTGTGTTCCCTTATCCTTTAAGGCCTGTCCAATATTTTCATACTTCCACACTTTGTTGTCCAGGGGGCATGCCGTTCGAGACTTTAGCCAACCTGAGATGCAGTGGAAATGGAAGGCATGGTTGCAGCTTCCCCAGGCCACTGGGCACTCTTGTTTGGATTCCTGAGACTCCAATGCCTGGCACTCGATGCACAGCCCTAGAATCTGATTGCGGCAAATGGAGCAGTTGTCCGTTACCAAGTCCCAGGCCCACAAGGCCACGGCGTCCCATTTCTTCACCTTGAAAGTAATTTTTGAGGTTTCAGTAGCGCTGGAGGGCTCCTCGTAAGGCTTTTCGTAAGCCTCCTTTTAATGTCTATTGGACTCATGATCTTTTTTTGCCGATTCCGTATTCTTCAAATTTGACAATCTGTCCAAAGGCTATTTAGACATTCTATCTTTCATATTAAGGGTTGGAGAATCAAAAATAATAGCTCGATTCCACTGAGTTGTACATAAAGTCCTATTCTCAGGTATGTTTTATATGTTTAGTGTCCGCCAAATCAACATCTAAGGCTTTAAATTAAATTCCAAGTTACATGACCAAAAAAAATAAATTCAAAATGTACGGGACGAAGCTTTCAATCTGTGCCCCTTTTTGCCTGTCGTAACTGCATGGTCACGTCCGCAGGACTACGCCCATTCTCGACTGAAGCCATAAACTCAACTTAGCTGCAAGTTTCCAGTTGAGATTCGGCAAACAAAAATGGGGACGTGCAATGGACGCGCTGCAATCACCAATTTACGTGAGCTCCATGTGACAGTGGAGTCGGAGTGTCCTGACACGCCCACAACGCGTGACCCGGCTGCATGTCTCCCCGGAGGTCAGCACAACGTCACCACCTTTGCACCAATACTTGCTCTAGTGCACTGGAAAATATATATATTGATATCTGAGGAACATGGTGGATAAGGAAATATAATAGTTGTGCTTAGATTTCGTATTATTGAAATAAACAAATTGTAGAAAGTTTGGAAATGTATCTTTGGAGAAACCTATTGTCATAATTCAAAATAAGTTTTGATCTTTATAATAGATAAAGCCATATTATTTTAGATCAAGGAACCCAACAAGAATTAGTTTCCAGTCTGAACTTTAAACCCTGTGCACTGTGCACTGACCATTTAGATTCCCTCCACCACATTCCAGTTTTTATTTAGAGTCTCTCCAGTATTCCCACATGTTCATCCCCAACTGGGGAGCGGAATGCACTTGGAGTGCATTCTTAATGCCTGCTCTTAGCCGTGCGGATGTGCCGGGGACATAAAGTATCAAAAATTCAAGCACCAGCCACAAAAACCTCCGACAAAACTGACGGCATTTTCGCACTCAATTACTTTGCATTAGAGACACCAAAGACTTTGGTGGGGTGCGAGGGTCGACAACAAACAGGGATTTGTGTCGTTCCATTAAAGTTTTATTCACGCAATCGGCAAGGGAGAAGGGGGACTCGTTTACGCTTTTACTCCTTTGTCGGGTATCCCAACCCCGGTTTATTTCCCGGGGCCCAACCTCATCCAGCTTGTCTGGCCACGGCCCGAGCGATAATAAAAAACAATTTGCCACCCATTGGGCATTAACGACAACAAACGACAGCAGCACCAGCACCAGCATCTTCCTTCCCGCTTAACTATCCAACCCCGCCCAGACTTTACACTCAAAATGAAAATATATTTTGAAATTTAGATAAATCAGAAATGTATTTATAAATCATTTCAAATCAGAAAGACATCTTTAATAATCAGACTCTGTAGTTTAGAAAACTTGATCTATGTAGAGTCTATATTTTTTATTGCTTAGGAACAATTCGAAATTATAATTAAGGATTATAGATTGGGAATACATATCAGCATTAATGATTAACGCATAATTTGTGCAATATTTAAATAGCATATTAGCTTTAATAATTAATGAATGTAATGTATACAATTTTAAGGCATTTATTGTTCTATCACTGATTACATTTTGAAGTATTTTTAACGGGTTTAAAAGTATACACTTTCTGTATTTAAATAATTACATACATCTACAAAGTTCTACAAAATCTTAATAATTTTTCCAAGATTTAGAGATGATTATTTTCTAAAAATCAGGAATCCAGAGGGATACTGTTCTCAGTGTATGACTTGCTGGTTCCATCACTTGCCACCCCTTACGGAGATGTCGTGTCTGGTGCAGTTTTGTCACAAATGGCAACATATGGGCGAATGGTTTCAAGTGGCTCAGGCAAAGGCAAAGGCTACTCTTACGGCTAAGGACGAAGGCTCATGCAATAAAATCATTTTGTTCAGTGAACGCTTTCAGCAAGCATCACATAATTTGCGACATACGCTCGAGTCAATGGTCAGGTCGCATTCGCAATCGCCAAGGAAGTCGAAGTTGGGTGTCATGTGTTTGGGAAATAAACCCATTTATCTATTTGCCAGCTTGTGATTTGGCTGCTAGAGAGGGGACCTGCTTATCGGGAGCCAAGATTACCCATATCCCCCCACTGATGGTCTTACTGGGTCAACTGCAATCCGGCTCCGGACAAACATCGGATAGCGGACTGCACTGCATTGCGGTGACTTCAAAGCGCACAAATAACTTTACTCTAGATTTAATAAACGATTATATTGGACTTAAATCCAAGTAGGCAGTGTTTGTCCCCTATGCTGCCGTTGAATTGCCCTAATCAGCTACTCGAGGCGCAATCAGTGCCACACATTTATATGGGCACTCGAAAGAGCTCAGGCTCTGGAGTGGCTCGAAAGCCTTATAGTCTTCCCCTGCGATCCCCAAAGAGATAGTCGGCATGCCCCGGGGCCAGCTTTACCCAACTTGGAGCACTCATCGTCGGGTTAGGCCATCGCTAGTTATACAACAGTTTGCTTGACACCTTCAAGTGCGCCCACTGACTTTGCTGGAAAGTAGTTCAGCAATCTGTGTAAATATTACGGCAAACTGAATAGGAACTCAGGCACAGAGGCACAGCACCTGGAGAAGAACCTTCAGCGGCGCACTTCACTTCTTAGATGTCCAAACAGACCCTGAAGAAGGTCTGGAGGAACTGAACTGAGCTATGTGAAGGTTTAGGTACTTTAATTGTTTTTATACCCATTATCTTACATTTTACCTAGATCTGTTTATACACTTTTGATGGCTAATTGTAACTAATAACAGTGTGTTTCTTATTTTATAGAATACCTTATCACAGGATATATCTTTTTCATATGTCCAACATAGATTTATTAAAATTGTATCAGAGTTTTCTGTTTACTATATCATACTGTTTACTATATCATACCAATATAACCTGCTCACTATTTTTTTTAACTAGATATTTAATTTTCCTTTTTAAATACCTCCCTTATAAGGTTATATACCAATCTAGCGGATGCCCAAAGCCCTCGAGTGACACTTATCTATTTAGATAGGAGATCGGAGAGGGTTAGGCAAAACTTACCTTATCTCCTCCGTAAACCCGATAAGCCCCTATAAGGGGCCACACTCTTGGGATCGACTGCCAACTGTTTGGTGTCCAAAATCAAAACAAAAACCGAAGCCACAATCTCCATTCTTTACTTTAGTGTCTATAAACAGCGACCTTTGCGACTTGTGACCACAAGGCTCATCCTCATTCTCATCGACTCTTTTTTTATTTATCGACCAGCCAGATTTCTCGTGATACTACGATTGTGACGGAATTGGGCTCTCCTTGGTGCGGAAGATAAGTTAACTAATCGGCGGCTATTATTGTTGAAAATGACATATCGGGAATTAGATTGCTTTATAATGACAACACTCTGTCATCAGTCACAAAAGTGGGGTCCACGTGAATAAGACTTAAAAATACTACCAATAATAACACTTTTCGATTATTTAGCATTGTCTTCGACTTGATTATCTCGCACTAGCAAAAAAACCCAAAAGATAATTCAAGCTAAAATTAGTGGCTTACTCGATCGACTGAGTCACGAGTTGAATAAACACTCACTTGGCAACAAAATAGTAATAGTAAAAAATAATATAATTATATGTAATTGGCATCACGTTTTCATCTGGCTGCTTTACAGGTAGTTTAAATTTTTTGACAATAACATTAAAAGTGTATGGAACATTAAAGAAAACTTCAGTTACAATAAGCTTTATTAAATATGGTAAGCTTAAAACGTTATTACAACGTTATTATTCAATTAATATTGCTATTCAATTTAAAGTATTCTATATCTTATTATAGAAAATTACTATTACTATATACCTCAAAAATAATTCAGTTACCTTAATCATTGCTTTTTAAGGGTTTTTCTGTAAAAAGTCTAAATAAAATCTTCCATATTCTGTATGTAGCTGATAAAACCATTGATAGCAATATAAACCAATATAATTTTATGATTATTTAATAAATAATAACACCAGATATGACCAAAGAACTTGATATACTGCCACGTTCGTACCATCGATGCGGTTATCTCATTTTTTCCAGATGCTAATAATATGCGGTTGACTTGACTGGCCAAGGCAAACACACACAAAAAGATGAAATCATAAATCCAAACAACTACATCCTGGCTTGATTGAAAGGTAAATACTGCATAAATGGACAGGAGCCGCAGTGGAAAGATGGGTGGTGGCCGCACCGCAGACAAAGGGATCTGGATTCGGGCTTCCGAGCTGGCTTTATAGCCACCTGCTGGGACCACCTGTTTAGATATGCCCCGGACAAAAGAGCCGGAATCGAGACAAAGAGCATAGCGACGTGGAAAATAATCACTGATAAAATAAGAGCATAAAGGACCAGCACAAAAAAGGGGTGGCTGAATGGATCTCGGTACTGCAATTCGGATTGGGAGTGGAAGGAGTGAGGGTGAGTGTGAGTCTGGTCGGGGGTGGATGGGATGAAAAGAAAAATTTCCGCATTATCCCGCGGATTCATGCTTAATAGGGCTCATTTAACGCTGCCTGCTTTGAGTGATCCCCGGAAGACTTTCAATACCAATAAAGCCATAAAAATCACTTCCCGCTTCCCATTCCTTTGAAACACTCTTCCGATAAAAAACATATCGGTTAGCAAAACAAGGTACTCGTACTCGTACTGGTTTTAGAACACGGTTTCGGTTTCATGTTCTCCTCCAGCGTTATCAATTGGTACATTCGGTGTGTGTTGTTTGCACCTGAGTACAGGGTAACCAATGCCTTGTAACATAAAGCGAAACAGAGTGTCAACAAATGTGTTGCCCTCTCAATGGGCGAATCTTGTACCAGACTCCAGATAACCACTGGAGGAGCATGGAACACGGTCCCAAAGAAGAAGATACAGATACTGGCGAATGGAAATAGAAAGGCCTACCTTGCGTATTTATAGATACCCAGATACCCAGATACTTAGATACTCCAGCAAAAAAGCCTTATCAACGTACAAGGTATCGACTGAAATGCCGTTCAAATATTTACACCGGCAGCACACAGAGTACAGAGATTTTCCCCCCCAACCTTAGAGCTACTGCTCCGAAGTCCGGAGTCCGGAGCCGATGATAAGCGGGAGCGGACATGGGCGCGCTAATTGCGGAATGATAAAAGCAAAAAATAGCTAACCATTGCGTTGCCACTCCACCGGATTGCCCCTTCCGTTGCCATCTGCCCCCGGGCAAAAGCACACAAATGTTCCATCAACTCGGTTGCCACTGCCAGGATTTTGGAATTCAGTAAAAAAGTAAGGCGGCATCGGGCGAAATTTTTATTAGACAGATGAAACTAGAAATACCCTTGCAACAATTACTATAAGGATTTAAAAATATGTACATTTTTATTTCTCTTAAAGTAAACTTTTAAATACTTAAGTAAATGAAATGGTATTTTGTTGATTTCCTAGGATTAATTCACAATTTTAAGGGCCTCTTCCCTATTTCTTCATATCATAGTTACATTCTCATCTTTTTCAATACTCAAACATTTAATAGAACCTCAGGAAAGCCAGCCTTAAAATCCATAAAACTCTCTTCTAGGGTATGAGAATTAAATAAAAATAAGAATTCGTATCTCTGTACACTTTGTTATTGCCAACATTTTCGCCTTGTATTTGCCTAAACCGGCCCCTAAGGAATACCATGGAGCTCCTGAACCCCAACACGTTGCTAGACAGAAAGACCTTCGGCATCGAGAATGCGAATACAAGGATGCGGATACGCTGCTGCCTTGGTCTTTCCTCGCCAGCTTGTTGGCAGCTTCGAGCATATTACATAAAATAAGAAAAATTATGATTTCCACGGTATAGAGGAGGAGAGAGAGAGAGAGAGGATGGTTCAATGTATGAAGAAGAATTTGGGGTAGTTTCCGGTGGAGACTGGAGGGGGCAGGCTGTTGCTTAACTGTCAAAATCGTGTAATTTAATAAAGTTCGCTGCGGGATATTGTTTTTTATAGAAGCCAGAGCAACATTGAGACAGCTTTTGCCAGCTGCCAAATGGGGAGTGGCTGGAAAATTGTGGAAATTGTGGCTGGCATTCGGGCGAAGGGGGAGGGCGTCGTTGCGGCTCCACAAAGTGTGCTGCACAAATACGAGAATATTCAGTTCACTTCAGTTACAAACAGCATTGCAACAACGCAATGTTTTCTTTTTGGGGGGCTGCCACAGGCACTCGGCAAACACTCTCGAGGGTAGAAATATCATACTATATAAATAAACATATACATATCCATCTGTACATATGAATTCACTTATATATTTACTCCAAAGTAGCGAAAAAATTCGTTTTTTGCCCTTAGCAAAATAAAGCAATTCTTCGGCTATAGTTGAGATCATATTAAGAGACAAAATTAAAGAATTCGTATCTTTAAATTGGAACAAAATTATTTGTGGTTATCTTCAGCAGATTAAAATACTGAAATTGTAATGTTGAAGCAATGTATCAATACAACTTAATTGGTTGTACTCTCTATATAAATACAAATAGATATAATGGAGCTAAATAAAATATAAGAATAAATCATTAAATGGAGTACACGACCATAAATATATAAATAGTATATTTAAAAGATTTAAATACGATATATTGCTAACTATTATGAGCAATGGTCTTCTTAAAACTATAAAAGTAGGAAAAGATCAAACTACAGCAAATAATAAATAATAGTTAGTATAAAGAGTTGGTATAAAAAGTAGGAATTCAAGATATGTTTAATTTTCCTATGTTTTGGAATGCAAGAATTTTAGCAATTAAAGATGGAGTCTCCCTTATTTCACGCCTTAAATTTTATTTCTTATATTGCATAACATTTAAAAAAAAGTTTCGTAACCCAAAAACAGCCTGTAAATTCCAGTTCTAGAACTCCATTTAAAGTCACGACAGCCCAGAGATGACTATCATATTCTCAGCTGACATCCCCCAACCATTTTCGTACTGTTTATTTTTTAGCAAGTGGAATTCCTATTTTATTTTATTAAGCAGCGAAGAAATATAAAAGTAAACAGTTGACTGCAAAAAACACACATAAGTATGGCTGTTGTGTACATCCCCACCAGATATCCCCCAGGAGAGTGGAAAGTAAAGTAAAGGAAAGGAGAGAAAACAAAAAGAAACCCACGCCCACACATTTCCAGCGTCATATGAACGCCCCATTATTTACTTAACATAACTTGAACATTCGCCTTCAACCCCCCGATAAAAAAAGGAGCCCTCCAAGGGGAGCAGCAAGCGTAGCCAAAAACAAACACCCACACACACACACCAAAGGCAAAAAAAAAATAAAGAACCCGTAGTGGAAATTTCGGGTGGGGGTGGGTGGAAAAGTATAGGAGGGGGACTGTGGGTGGTGAGGTGGTCGCTTGGCTTACCTGCCAGCCGGCAGTTGGCTAGTCAAAAAGCTGTCGTCGATGCTAAGCGCAGACCCAGAATGCCATGAAATATGCAAAAGGAGAAGGATGGTAAAATGTACAAAAGCCCAACCCCACATTTTCAGACTCAGGAATCCGGAAAAATGGCGAAAAAATGATTTATGTGAACGCCAGCAAAGGAAGGGAAACACAGCCAACAATAACCCGGGAAAAATAACAGAATCAACTGATTTCTCAACTTGGCTCTGGACCAGCAGCCTTTGTTTGCCAGACCTGCGCGCGAGTTTAGGCCCACAATTTTACCTTCCCTTCAGGACCTTATTCACTGTCCTTTCTTTTTTTTTTGGTTTTTTTGCAAGCAATGAAAAATGCTGAAAGCGTGCTCAACAGACAGCGGACTCCAATGGTATTGGGGTCACCGAAAAGGCATAAGATATTGATGTCCCCAGAGGAGAATGCCTTCTCTGGGCCTTTGCCTTAGAAGCCAAAATGGAGGCGGGACTCATTCTTCCAGAATGTGAATACGACATAAATGCTCAACGGGAGTTCTCATTCCGAAAAAAGTACTGAAAAAGCACACTAAACAAGTTTCTTGAGACGGAAGCATAAAAACTAGACATGTTTTGGCAAGGGATTAAATGAATTATTGATTTCGAAGAATGTTTTTCTTTAAAAAGTATGCAATTATATAGTTATATTTCTGTTTCTTAATTTAAATCCATTAAGCCCTTCGAATACTGTCAAGGTCTACCGTTTTCATTCATAGGGTAATCTCCATAACACTCGTATCCAACAAGGGAGCATATTTCGGACTGAATTTCAAAACGAAAAAAAAATTAAGGTAAGCAAAAAATTTCGAAATGGTTTTGATACTGTGCAGGACTAATTGTTCCTGTTCAGATGTCTGATATCAATTTGGTAGCCTATGATATCTTCCGACGCGATTTGGCCAAAATCTTTAGGACTTTTAATTCGTCAACGCAAACCGATTTTACCGAGGACACTGCAACCACAACTCAATTCGAATTAAAGTCTAAATCGGACACGGCACTTTCTAAACTGTACGATTTAGATCTGGATTAGTCTTTTTTTTTCAGCATGGAAGCGCCATCGGATGGAAACGGCAATCCGGAGGATAATCCTAAGACAAATCGCAAGAAAAGACCACGGAAAAGAAAGAATAATTCACAAACTGAAACCAGTTCCGAAGAAAATACAGATGCATCCAGTGATTCGTTGCCAGAGCCAAGACAGACCTTACCGCCAGTGGCTTTGGAGGTGAGAGATTCAAGAACCATAACTTCCTTAAGAACCACTGGCAGTACCTATCGCTCGACAGCAGAGTCACAGACTTCTGGATACACTAACGAGAGTATTTACCCAACCACTATAAGATACGAACCCCTGAATGAAAGCAACACCAGCTCCTTTGGCAGCGTTGAAACCCTCCACGGACCTCCGCCCATGAATTTCCTGCGGGATATTCATGTGGCAACTGACCCAACTTCACCTGAAGAGGAGATCCAATCCGTTCGCATGGAACTACAGGAATTGCTTACCAATGCCATGTTCCATATAGGACAATGGTACAATCAAGCCATCTACATAATCACCTATAACTACATGTAGTTAATTCGAAAAATGATCAAAATTTTCAGTGACCATTTTGGAATAACTGCCATTTTTGACTTTGAAACATTGGGTAATAAGACATATATATATTAAGAATTATGTCTACATTTTCTTTTAAAATTTCAGCAGTCGGTGTGGATCTACAAATAATTTTTAAACACCTTAAATAAATTTACAAATGATGGAGGAGTTTTATTAATAAGCAGTGTGTTTTCTTTATATTTCTTGATTAATGCAAGCAAGTTTGTACTTTTAAATATGTTATTAAAGCTAGTCAAATTTTAGTTATTAAAGCTAGCCAAATGTATTAAATTTATAGTAAGGGATACTTAAGTAAACCAAACGGTAGTATAACTTGACTGGCAGAAGTCACTTCGTTCCGGGGATATTAGAACCAGTAAGGGGGAAGCATACATGCACACATGTGCAAGAAATGTTTTTGGATCAACAACACTTGCAACTTGCAACACATTTGTGAGACTTGGCCGGCAGCAGTCACTTCGTTCCGGGGATGTGAGAACCAGTTGGGAATCATATGTTTTGATGATTAACTACGAACAGCAAGTATTTATAAACATTAAGTAACTCTGAACAGTAAGTATCTATGACCAGTAATTAACTATGATCAGTAATTACCTATGAGCAGTATGTAACTATGAGCATTAAGTATCTATAATTAGTATCTATGACAAGTAAGTATGTATGTATGATCAGTTACTAACTTTGAACACTAGTAAACAATGACTTGCAACTTTTGTAACACAACACATTTGTGAGACTTGGCCGGTAGCAGTCACTTCGTTCCGGGGATGTGAGCACCAGTTGGGAATCATATGTTATGATGATTAACTATGAACAGCAAGTATCTATGACCAGTAAGTAACTATGATCAGTAAGTTTCAATGAACATTAAGTATCTATGACTAGCAAGTAACTATGATCAGTAAATATCTATTACCAGTAAGTATGTATGTATGATCAGTTACTAACTTTGAACACTAATAAACAATGACTTGCAACTTTTGTAACACAACACATTTGTGAGACTTGGCCGGCAGCAGTCACTTCGTTCCGGGGATGTGAGAACCAGTTGAGAATCACATCAAAATGTGCGAGATGTGTTTTTGGATCAGCAATTAACTATGAGCAGTAATTAGCTATGAGCAGTAAATAAGTATGAGAAGAAAGTAACTATGGAACTATTTAACTCTGAACAATAAGTATCAATGAGGATTAAGTAACTATAACCAGTAAGTATCTATGGCCAGTAAGTAACTATGATCAGTAAGTATCTATGACCAGTGTGTATGATCAGTTACTAACTTTGAACACTAATAAACAATGACTTGCAACTTTTGTAACACAACACATTTCTGATACTCTGCCGACAGAAGTCACTTCGTTCCGGGGATGTTAGAACTAGTTGGGAATCATATACATAGATGTGCGAGATATGTTTTGGAACAAATTTAAACTTTTTAAATTAAACAATGGAGTTGTTCTTCATTATAATTTTACTAGTATATAAGTCAAGGCATGGCAAATCGGTGGACTATATATAGATATGTACATACATATAGCTAACATCTGAACAATCGGACGATTTATAGAACTATGATCTGTAATTAATATGACCATTAATTAACTGTGATCAGTAAGTTTCTATGAACATTAAGTAACTATGAGCTGTAAGTAACTCTGAACAGTATATATCTATGGGCAGTAATTATCTTTGACAAGTAAGTATCTACATATGACCATTAAGTAAATATGTATGATCAGTTACTAACTTTGAACACTAATAAACAATGACTTGCAACTTTGTAACACAACACATTTCTGATACTCGGCCGACAGAAGTCACTTCGTTCCGGGGATGTTAGAACTAGTTGGGAATCATATGCATAGATGTGCGAGATATGTTTTGGAACAAATTTAAACTTTTTAAATTAAACAATGGAGTTGTTCTTCAATATAATTTTACTAGTATATAAGTCAAGGCATGGCAAATCGGTGGACTATATATAGATATGTACATACATATAGCTAACATATGAACAATCGGACGATTTATAAAACTATGACCTGTTATTAACTATGACCAGTAATTAACTATGATCAGTAAGTTTCTATGAACATAAAGTAACTATGAGCAGATGGTAACTCTGAACAGTAAGTATCTATGACCAGTAAGTACGTATGATCAGTTACTAACTTAGATTACCAATAAACAAACTTGCAACTTTGTAACAACACATTTCTGAGACTTGGCCGGCAGCACTCACTTCGTTCCGGGATGTTAGAACCAGTTGGGAATCATGCACGGATGTGCGAGACTTATTTTGAAACAAATTTAAGCTACTTAAATTAAACTATGGAGTTATTCTTCTATATAATTTTACTAGTATATAAGTCGGAGCATGTCGAATCGGTGGACGATATATATACATACATATAACTGCCATAAGAACGATCGGAAAAAAAAAAAAAAAATTATAACTTTTCCAGTTTTCCACCAATTTTCATCAAATTTAAGATATATGTAGGTATTGTATATTATTCTACAATTTTATAAATAACGGACTACTATATAATATAGCTGCCAAACAAACGGTCTTTATATACAAACGATAATTTGTATTGTATTAATTCCTAGTGATCGAATTTCAATCTTCAAGGGCTTAGCTTCTTTTCTGGTTTAGTCAAATATTTAACAACTTTTAAAAGTACTTAAAAACCAAAGTGATATCTTCAAGAAATCTATAAAAGGGTCACTCAAGAGAATTATGTTTCGATCTACATAACATTTAAAAAGTTTTTAGTAGCATCGTTGTCTTAATAATAACAGAAAATAAATAAAATAAACCGACTTCAAATACTTCTTTTATCCAAATATTTAAGGAATCTTCAAAGGGATTTACCGACCTTGCAAAAGTCATCTATTTAATCACTTTTTTTTGGGTCGAGCGGACTCTTGCGGAACTTGCCTCAGTTATTTCAATGGACAATCAGTTCTCGAGTGAAGTAAAGTGTTTGCTCTTACTGCGTGATCTGCGCCTGTTGACATTATGACAAATTACATAAGCTAAAGGCAACAATTGCTGAACCCCATTCCGACAGCGGATCCGGATCCGGAAACAGGGGAATGGAAGGAAGTGAGGAAGGAAAAAACAAACCAAAAACGGATACGCTTAGACTGGCCTGGCCTGGAGTGGGCTTATGGGGGGTGGTTCAGGCTTGTAGGCCCGTTAATAGGAAAGCCACACAAGGACTGCGCTAACGAAGGACACGCGGCGGGCACAGCGGTTGAGCGGCAAGTGCGCAGGGAATGGGAATAATAGAGGACGAGTTCTTTTGGGTCGTCTGTTTGCTCAGCGCTAAGTGCACCGGGTCCGTGGGCAAGTGGAAATGATAAACATATTTACACAATTTTTGACAGGCGAACGGGTGAAACAAAACACCCGTGGGTGCAGCCCCCAAGCCAACCTCCTCCTCCAACCCACCCAACCCCTTTCCGCACGCACTTGAAGCAGTCGAAAAGAAAACCAAACCCAAACTCGATAAATATGTTTATGTGCAAATAACAAAATATTTGTCGATTGCCCAAAACGGGGCGCTGGAAGGGGTGGGACTTTGGCTTCGGGGCAGGGCGGGCCAGGATCGGGAAAGGACGAGGTCAGAGGGGAGGAAAGGAAGCACCGCAAGCGCATAATTCAATTTTTCTGCTCGTTTTTGCACGTCGCCCGGCACACGTCACCCGAGTCCACAGGGACATCGAGCTGCCACGCTACACCAGCCAAAACCCTGCCCCGTTGCACTGAGAACCGAATTCCGAATAAAACTAGACAATTGTCATAACTACACTGGGAAATTAACATTTCAATTTTACAAATTTGAAATATAATTTTATATTTTACAAACGTATAGGCAGTTTGAGTAAAGCGTAAATAGAAATTTTCCTAAAACGGGGTTACGCTTGAATAATCATTTTTTAAACCAATATCATATTTCATTTATAACAATTATAATATGAAATAAATTAAATGTCAATTACAGGATAGATCACAAAATAAAGAATTACATCTCCGAAAATTAATTAAATATTGACATTTCTTATATGATGTTTTAACCTTTGTTTATGTATATATTTAAGAAGTCCCAAATATAGCAACTAAATAAATTTTATAATGATATACCATGAATATAAATGACATTTAAATATAACATTATCAATTATAGATGAAAGATCCAACACCAATTATGTTTAGGATAGTTTTTAAATAGCCCACACAAACACTAAACTAAAGGTTAGATGTTCTTTAATAATTAAAAATAATAATAAAAAACTAATAATATGATGATTATATGATGTTTTAACCTTTGTTTATGTATATATTTAAGAAGTCCCAAAATATAGGCAACTAAATAAATTTTTATAATGATTATACCATGAATATCATAAATGGACATTTAAATATAACATTTATCAAATTATAGATGAAAGATCCAACACCAATTATGTTTAGGATAGTTTTTAAATAGCCCACACAAACACTAAACTAATGGTTAGATGTTCTTTAATAATTAAAATAATAATAAAAAACTAATAATTTAGTTTCACCGAATATTTGGTATATGGTAAATCAAAGATAATTTCTATAAAATAATATTTATATTAAAATGACTATTGAATGAATATTTAGAATGGATAAATACGATTGTATCATCTACTGAAAAAAAAGAGAGGTAACGCTCGTTTTGGGCTTTACGCATCTTATACTTTATATAGTCTCTGGTGTAAGAAGCTAAGTGTTTTCCGAATTTGAACTATGAGTTCTGATTTATTCTAACTATTGATTTTTTCTCCCAGTGCACACGCACTTTGCCAGAAACTGCATCGCATATTAGTGACACGTGTCGAAGGCGCTCCGAGAGTCCCAGTACATGCGGTTTCGGGCACTGCCCTTCATCTCCAACTCCAATCCAACTCCAACTCCATCTCCATCATTTATTTGTTTGTAATTACGCGTGCTCAAAAACTAAATCCCGCCGCACTTGAGTCCCCGGGTAATGGACAAATCAGCTGAGCCTGCTCTTTTCAATGCCCAACTCGGCATTGACTCTGGGACTTTGTTCTGTGGACTCCGGACTCCGGACACGTGCATCATACCGCCTCTTCTGGTTGATGGTATTCCCAACGCATTAGCAACAATGCCGGCGACATTCGGAGTTTGTCAACAGTTTCGCCTTTGGATTTGGTTACGGCTTTTGTCGTCGTCAGTGGCGCGTGTCTCCGTCCGAGATGTCATCTTCTCCACTAGACTAAAATCCGCAGTCAGTTGTCAACTTTCTGGACTGGCTTTTAGCCCAGGGATTCTCGATTGATTTGGAGAGGGATTTTCGAGTGGGAGTATGTTTTTTGGGGGCAGGCACATGAAACGAAATCATAAATGTGACATGACGGGATCTACCATGGTCGGTTTAAGCAGCTCCGACAAACGAAATCCCTTTGACCAACCAAAAACCCAGCACTAATAAATCATCTTCCTTACAAAGTTGTTCAGCATATTTTCTTGCAAAAAACTTTCTTGGGTAGTTTTCCCAGTTATATATTACCGTCCCCTTAGACCATACATTTCAAGCGAGTGCATAAAAAACGAGGGGCGGTAAACCGAGAAGCCGCCACATTGGGCCCTCCTAAAAGGGCATTCGAAATGAGCTCCTCGGAGATGTGAAGATATGAAGATGGCGGCGGGCCACCGGGAAAGCTTTCGTATTTAATTGAAAAACACTTAAGCAGCCGGAAAACGAGAATGGAAATGCTAAAGCCAGGCCAACCGCAAGAGCCTTACATGAAACCTACAACCTCAACCCATCTTCATTGCATGACCTTTTTTGCGGTTCATAAAAACAAAGACCGAGCGGAAAACAAAAACTTTGCATAATTAAAGAGCGGCCCACACAGAGAAAAAATATCAAAACTGTAATATGACAATCTGAACAGAAACAAAAGTAACATATTTTTCCTTCCTATGAAATAGTTTTCTAAATATTAAGATGGTGAATTCTTAATTGACTTCAATTGAAAATATTCTAAAATTTACCTATCAAACAATTACGCAAAACACCTTTTAATTCAGAAATTAATTCATTTATAGCAGTTTCTTACTGCAATGATTTCTCTCTCTGCAGAAAAACTCTTAGACAAAAGCTACTACATTGGACAAGGCTGAATCAAAGATGGCATGACTTGGCCACTTACCCTCGAGCGCCCGGTTCCTGGAAATTAAGGCGAGCACCAGTTCGGGATTTGGGTCATCCTGGTCGACAGCCAGGTGATTGTGGTGCGGAAGCTGCCCACCACCGACCAGGTGCGATGCCTGCGGCGTGGGTGGCAATTGTTGCTGCTGCTGCTGATGGATATGCGGCGGATGTGGCTGATGTTGCTGATGATTATCCATGACTGTCAGGTGCTGTTGCTGCTGCTGCAGCTGCTGATGTTGATGTGGCTGCTGCGGATGCTGGTGCTGGTGCTGTAGTTGGTGGTGATGATGTAGTGGCGGCGGTGGTTTCAGGGTTTGCATCATTGCTAAGGGGCCGTTGGTTTGTTCACGCGTCGTATGAGTTATATTTGTTTTAGCCTTTTATATTAGCCCTAAAAGAGAGCTGAAACCGTATTTCTTGGTTAGTTTTCCGCACTCGCGTCCCGTTAGCCGTTAAACGAGCCAGAGACGCTAGTCGGGATCGCTGTCTGCTCGATAACTGGCATTGGCTCGTTCTCAACCGCGGAACCCGCTAAATGTTTCTCCTTATCGCGACGGGCTTTCTTGGGGCTTTCGTTTTTTTCTATTCGAGAACGGTTCGGTTTGGTTCGTTGGATCGTTGATTCATTCGGCTGCTCTACCAGTTAAAGTAGCCAGGGACTTGAGCCATTTGAATCAGTTTGCGACACGGGACACTATGAGAGTCAGCTGAGCTTTATATAAGTCTGGAATATGCTAACTGATCAATGGCATTATATTTAGTATGATGAGCTCATATGTATTCATTTTCTGACTAGTGGGCAATTCTCAGTGTTATTATCTAGGAATAGAATCAAGGTGTTCATATTTTTATGCTGCTCTATAAAAAAAATCTGTTTTAATGGATTGAAATTGCACTAACCAATAAAAAACCCTTTTTTTAATTTTTGTCTTTTCTAAATCTAGTATAAGATATATATTACTGAAGACTTATTATGCAGAAAAACTTACAAACAAATTCATTTTGGTTAGGCAAACATTTACATAGCTTTAACTTTAAATTCAAATAGGTTTTATGGTTTAATTTAATTAGGTTTATATACTTTCTGTGTTTCTAAGCCCCATTAACATATATTTAGGGTAAGAATGTATTCTATATTCTGTATTTATTAGTTCTAGCATTGTTTTCAGAAGGCATATATGTTTAAATAAAGAAACTGGGTTTATTAATATTATTAAAATATTTAATGTTGATTTTCATTTGAAAGCTTTCATCGAGAAAACTTTTTATTTATTGTTCTATCTAGTTACCCATTCCTATGCCCAATTCAGAATAAAAATAACTATTTTAAATGGTATTTACACAGAACGGCAAAATCGAACGGCACTTGGAACTCTCGGCACTTTTAATACTTCAATACTAGTATTTCAATAAAAATTAATTCGTTTTCGTTGGCTTTTCCTTTATCTTGATTTCGTTTTAGTTGCACACGAACGCAAACGCGATTTTATGCGAACGCCATTTTAGCGACGGTAATGGCAACGGCAGCGGAAATGACGACGGCAAATGCGAGCGAACGACAAAATGGCGACGGCATGGCTAACAGACGGCAAGAGACGAAAGGCCAACGGCTAACGGTACCAGTACCAGCGACAACACAGGGCATGGCCACACTGGCAAGCGGCTGACAGTGGTTTCCCGCTGCGTTGTTTGCTGTTTGTTGTTGCTGTGCCTGGATTCTTCTATTTGCCGCGCTGCATCTTTATTTATTTTCTTCGTCGCCGTGTGTTTTCTTTCGTTTACTTTCTTTTTTGCGCACTTTTTGACGCTTTTGTTGCCGCCGCTGCCGTTGGACTATGAGCTTTTTACGATACTTTTTATGCCGCGCTTGCCTTTTCGCTGTCCATATGTGTGGGGCTTTAGCCGTGTGGGTGTTTGTCTGGCTGTGTGCTTGTGTGTGTGTGTGCGTGTGTGTTTACCAATTGATCTTAATGTGACACAAATGATATGGTAAAATGCATACAGCCAGCCCTGAATGGCAGGACAACAATGGCAACAAGGCGACAACGCCAGCAGCGACAGAAGCGACGACATTTTTATGCTTGTTTTTTGGCCATGCGCATATCTTTCCATACCATCACCATCTCGTGTCCTCCTCCTTGAAAGTTCCATGAGCATTACAATATTTGTAAAACGTAAAAACTTTGCCCCGAAAAATGGGAACTTTTCTGTTTCCCTCTGCCTCAAGAATTTCAAGCTGCAAAACTGCACGGCGAAAGAAAAAAGATAGAAAGATAGAACAGACGGAACAAGAACAAAAACGCCAACCAACGTCGAGCGACACCTTCGTGGCCCCAAAACAACAGTAAACAGCACTTAAAAGTCGGCTGCGAAGTCGGCAGCGACGGCAGCGCCGGCAGAGGCGAACAAATATGAGAAACTTAACTCAAAAATCCAAGTCAATACGCGCGGTCACCAAAAAAGCAGCAGCAGTCAGAGAGAGGGGCACAACAAAGAGCAACAACGCCTTTGGCTTTCCAGGGGAAAGTAAGCGCCGCCCCTTTATATTGAAAACATTGGAAATCGTTGATAGAGACAGCAACAACAACGTATCCAGAGACCGGGCATGCGCAGGTATCACCATTATCTTATCGCCCCAGCCTGTCGCCATTAAAGTGGGTGGGTGACATCTATTCCTAGGGTTCAAATCGTTCCAGCGCCGACGCAGTGCCGCCTTATACAGATATAGAACACATACACACACACAAGCGGGAAGAACCCTCTTGGCCACGAGTCACCCTGTGTCCATGCGTTCGCTGTATCTGCATATAGGGTGGCTTCTGTGTCTGTCTGAGGCTCCCAGACCTCGGTTTATCTATAGTACACCCAACCCCCCTCATACATACCAAACCCATAGCAAAACCCCTTAAATGCGTTGCGCTGCAAAAACGATTTTGTTTTCGCATTTATTTATGAGCCGCTTAGAGCGCGCCAAATACTTTGCCAAACACTTTGAACCCCGAAATGCCCCAACCCTCCGTTCCGTGCGAGATCCGAAAACTAAACCCCTTCTCCCATGGCGCATACACCCCACCGCCGAAAAGAAGTGGTCACTAGAAGAAGGTCGTTTATGGGTTGGGTTTTCCGAGGGCAGGACGGAGTGGCAGCGTGAACAGCTGGAATGCATGGGTCGCTTGATAAGTACATATGTCGAAATTAGTAGTAGTTATCATAAACATTTTATTTTATTTTAAACTAAAATTTGTGGGACAGTTTTTCAGTATACAGTATAGAAAACTTACTATCTAGAATGAGAACTTTAATTAAACTAAACTAAACAAATCATTGAGAAAATGGATTGATTCAAAACTGCTATTAAGAATAAGAAATGGAGTTTAAAAATAGGACCTTAGAAAATTATAAGTAACTTTCTTTTGAGAGACCAAAGTTAAAATATATAAATGTATAAATCAGTTATTGAGTTGCTCATATGTATAATATAATATAATATATAATAATAGTACGCTGAGTGAACCCTATTGATCAATATATATATAATTAATATAACCAATTCATTTTATTTTATTTATTTATATTATGTACATTAACAATATTTATTAGTAGCTGGGTGGCCTGAGGTGTTAGGCACTAGTTTGATCAATTGTTCTAAAAGCAATATTTAACATATCTGTTTCAAATTCAATAACACATTATATTTTGATATTTCTCTAGATACTATGTCCTTCTCATATTGCTTAATTTATAGATTATCTATATAAACTTATTCCCGGGCTTTTGCTTGCAATTTATTAATAACAATTTTTTATTTAAACGTTAACCTTAAGCAGTTAAAAAAACAGGATAATCAAGGTCCCTTATTTGGACTGGTATATTTATTGTTAACTCTGTCATGTCAAATTTTCCCAGGGAAGTCAATAATTAGCTATTTTAGCTAAATGTTTTAACCAAAACATACCCATTAATACATATAAAGGTAGACAATTTTACTGATTTAATCTTTTTAAAAAATTTCAAGAATCCCTTTAAGATATTAATGAAAGGTTTCTTAATGGAACCTTCTCCTATTGTATGCAGTACAAGTGACTTTAAATTAATATTTGATTGACACTTTTATCGATTAATGACACAAACACGATATACCCTTGAGTCCCCAAGTATCGCGGTATGAAAAGTATTTATCAAGGGGGCCATGCCGTTAGCATCGTGACCCTGAAACGCATCTGGAATGGGAATGGCTGATGAAATGCACCCAACGAATGCAGATACAATCCGAATCCGCTCCGAATCTTTGGCCCATGGCTGCACTTCCGCGGTTACAAAATCGACTTTGACTTTCAAATTGTGTCAGCGCTTTGTTATGGCCATCTAATGTGGCCGTTAATGGTTAAACAGATGAAGTATTTTGCCAAATGAGCCCGACCTGGGACACTTAACTGCCGATGACGTGACGATATGGAACCGGATTGACAGTAAGTAACAGACAAATAAGGGAATTAGTAAGCAGGGCGATAAAATGAATAGTTTTAGTTCCATGATGGCCAATGTTTGGACAACATTTGACAATTAACAGGCAGTTTATTTAAATTTTCTTCTTCTTCGACATTTTCTCAGCTCAGTTCGTCGGTCGTTCAGGTCGGCAGTAGTTACATAAACATAAATCTCGGCAATGGGCCACTCACAGACCAAAAGACAAAAAACTTGCTGCCACTGCACATTTTCACACATAGCCGGATTTTTGTTGCTATTGCTGTTGTTTTTCCCCAAAAAGTCGTGAGATTCGGGGCTCATTGAGGCTTGGTTAAATCGCAGCTAGCTCATTTGTAGATTCGAATGTCAGCGGTGAACAAGTGCGGTACCCACCGAGAGCGGCTAACTATCGAAAATCCCTGATTAAATAGTGTGTAGACTTTGATTAACTAGGATCATCCATTCTGCCATGGACTTTGACGAGTTTCGCGAGTTCGGTCATGCCTCGATTGAGTTTATCATTAACTACCTGAGCGGCATTCGCGAGAGGTGTGTGATAAGATTATGTTTAAAACCCGAGCCTTGAGCCTGACTTCCTTGTTCTCTTAGAAATGTCCTGCCCAATGCCGTTCCCTATGCGGTGGTCAATCAATTGCCCAAGGAGATTCCGGAGCAGCCGGAACACTGGCGGGAGGTGCTCAAGGATCTGGAGAGCATTATCCTTCCAGGTTTGACACACTGGCAGTCACCGTACTTCAATGCCTTCTATCCATCCTCCTCCTCGGCGGGATCCATTATCGGTGAACTCTTGATCGCGGGCATCGGTGTCCTGGGATTCAGTTGGGTAAGTTTAATGAAGTAATATATATTTCCAAAAGTCTTATATAATTTAATTTAAAAAACGTTAGACATGGTAATTAAATAGCATATTAATTCATTTCTTACTAAAATGTATTTATATTCTGTAGCTCATTGATAAAGATTTTCATTTATATAGTATAATATCGGAATATGAGATTAACCTTAAAAACTTTATCTTCAAGTTAACGTGAAAAGGATGTTAAAAATTTACAAATGATATGTATATATATCTGGCCAAGTAATGGTTATTCTAAATATGGTCATAATGCATAAAATGTATAATATGGTACATACGCCTTATTTTTTTAATATAAATTTAAATAATTAGATAAGACTACAATTTATTAATGAAATATCATCAGAAAATAAAATGCAACTATTAATGACATATCTAATTTTATATTACCATAAGAGAAATATTCTTACAGTTAATCAGTTAATCAATCCTCTATGTAATCTATAAAATTAATGATGATAAGAATGAATTCAAATCTCAATTTATGGTTCATTAGTAAACCATTAACAAACGATTCCCCAAGAAAAACTCAGTCTCAATAACGATCTACCTGATTGGTCAAACCGATATCAATGTTAAGTAAATAATGAAAACGTTTGTTAAGAGAGAAAGCTTCAGAGAAGACTGAGAAAGCTTACAGCTAAGAGCGAAGACCAAACAAACTAAGGGAATACTTTCTTCCTTGGTAACACCATCGATCGATGGGCCAAATATAATCAATGCTTTGGATAAGAATCACTTATCGATCGATCTTACCTCCCAAAGCATTGATAAGCAATTAATGATGATTAAGAAAATTGCCAACTAATGGGGGTTTTTAATCACATAAATAGCCAGTATTATATGATCATCATAAAACTACACTACCCAATTCGTTCCCTAATCTCAGCGATTCGATGTGCTCTAAGTCACATTGTAGGGGGTAATCAGAGATGTTTGTTATTTTAGGTAGAAATCATTAGAACGTTATAAATACTTTTAGGTTTAATAATAGTTCTATTGTTCCAAAGTAAATATCATTAAGGTATATTATTTATTCTTACAACTTCATAGAAAAAAAAACATAAAATACATCATATTAAAAGGGAATTTGCTGTCTCTCAAAATGATTTAGGAGCTGAGTATTCTATGGTTTAATCACAATCTGTAGAATAAAAAACTTAACTTTACCTGAACGAAAACCAGCTAACATGCCAGCACTGGGAGGCTGATCAGAGGAGTCTCTCTATATAAAGCCGGTCACCATCGCCGATCGGCTTCAGAGTGAACTTCACAGGCCAAGCGGAGAAGCGTCAACGGAGCGATTGGTAATCGAACTGGACAAATAAATATAAAACCGAAAGCGAAAAGCAAACAGAACGTGAAAAGTGCAAATAGAAACGGCTTTCGAGGCACTATCAGTGAAATGGATGCCAAGGAGTTTCGGGAATTTGGCAAGGCGGCAATTGACTTTGTGGCCGACTATCTGGAGAATATCCGTGATAATGAAGTACTGCCCTCCGTGGAGCCGGGCTACCTCCTGGATCTGCTGCCCAACCAAATGCCAGAGCAGGGGGAGTCTTGGAAAGCGGTCCTCAGTGACATCGATCGCGTGATCAAGCCGGGCATTACCCACTGGCAGTCGCCGCAAATGCATGCCTATTACCCCACCAGCACCTCCTATCCCTCCATTGTGGGTGAGATGCTGGCCAGCGGGTTCGGCATCATTGGATTCAGCTGGGTATGTTGTTGTTGTCACCTGTCCCCGTGTATCTGGCGGTGAAATCTCGCCGCTGACTGCTGAATCCATTGTTTTGGCCAACGCTGAATGGGCCATTGTCCCATTGTAAGCGTTGGGTGAAAGTGAAACCAAGAACCCGACAAACAGGTTGCGATGCAATCATCTCCATAAGAGTTTTCCATACAAAAAAAAATCGCAATTGACACCCTATAATATTATGATTATAACCTTTCCCCGGAACCGAGATTACCATAATCAATTCTTTTGTGCGGCAATCGAAGCTAAACAATACATGTTTATTGTGTAAGCTATGGATTGGGACTTTAGATAATAGCAATTAAGTTGTTAAAATGTTCATTAGGTCATTAGGTTTGTGGGGTAAAGATATAGTATTGAAAGAAGGATATAAGACTCTTGATAAAATATATTGTCTAGTAGTAAAGATTCTTCTTTAATCAATCCCATTTTCGCTGTCCACAAAATTCATAAACTATTTCCTTTTTTGCAGATCTGCAGTCCTGCTTGCACAGAACTGGAAGTGGTGGTCATGGATTGGTTGGCCAAATTCTTGAAGCTTCCGGAGCACTTCCTACATTCTAGTGAGGGACCCGGCGGCGGTGTGATCCAGGGATCTGCCAGCGAGGCAGTCCTGGTGGCTGTCCTTGCTGCCAGGGAGCAGGCGGTGATTAACTACCGGGAGTCGCATCCGGAGTTAAGTGAGAGCGAGGTGCGTGGTCGCTTGGTGGCCTACTCTTCGGATCAGAGCAATAGTTGCATCGAGAAGGCTGGAGTCCTGGCTGCCATGCCTATTAGGCTTTTGCCCGCTGGAGAGGATCTGGTACTCAGGGGAGAGACCCTGAAGCAGGCCATTGAACAGGATGTGGCTTCGGGTAGGATTCCTGTCATCTGCATTGCAACTCTGGGCACCACAGGAACCTGTGCCTACGACGATATCGAAACCTTGTCCACAGTCTGCGAGGAGCACAAGGTTTGGCTACATGTCGACGCTGCCTATGCCGGTGGTGCCTTTGCCCTGGAGGAATGTTCCGATCTCCGAAAGGGTTTGGATCGTGTCGACTCGCTGAACTTCAACCTGCACAAGTTCATGCTGGTGAACTTCGACTGCTCGGCCATGTGGCTGCGGGACGCCAACAAGGTGGTGGACAGCTTCAATGTGGACCGCATTTATCTGAAGCACAAGCACGAGGGTCAGTCACAGATTCCCGACTTCAGACACTGGCAAATCCCGCTGGGTCGCCGCTTCCGCGCCCTCAAGGTTTGGATCACGTTCCGCACTCTGGGAGCAGAGGGCTTGAGGAATCATGTGCGCAAGCACATTGAGCTGGCCAAACAGTTTGAGGAGCTGGTGACCAAGGACCCTCGTTTCGAGTTGGTGGCTCCTCGAGCCCTCGGCTTGGTCTGCTTCCGTCCGAGGGGCGATAATGAGATTACAGCCCAGCTCCTGCATAGGCTCATGGAGCGCAAAAGATCTACATGGTTAAGGCGGAGCATGCCGGTCGCCAGTTCCTCAGGTTCGTTGTGTGCGGCATGGACTCGAAGCCCTCCGATATTGAGTTTGCCTGGACGGAGATCGAGTCTCAGCTGACGGCCCTGCTGGCAGAGCAATCTTTGGCCGCTCGAAAGGCAGGAAATGTGGCCGATCTGACGCAACACTTCAAAATCCATCTTAACGATCATGAGAAGTCTCAATGAGATTATTCCCTTTGCTTGCAAATTTATATTTATGTTTAGTATGTCCTTAGTGTGCATTGTAGTAATTAAGATTGTCATGTGTTTATAAATAAAACTGAATAATATATGGTTTGAAGTTATTTTACTATTATTTAGAGGAATAAAGAGGACGGTTTCAGAAATAAAGTGTCACTTAAACATGATTTGAAAATAATTATAGAGAATGTTGATAATCTGCAGTAACAGAAAACAGTATTATTGCACAATAATACAATAAACAAATAGTTAATAACTTAAACATAATTTTAAATGTGCCTAAAAGTAGGCAACGAAATATTGAAAGTTATATTTTGTTTATTTTGGAATACTTTAAGAATAATCACGTTTTATATATTAGTGTTTTTCTAGTGCAATAGTTTAATTATTTTGTACTTATAATATATTTATATAAATATTGCTTGCATTTTTTATATTATTTCATTTTATCAATTAAATTCAAATTCTATCGTATTTGGCGGGCAAGTGTGGCTGCATTTCAAATACCGCCTTAAAATATCGATAGTACAGAAAGGCCAATAATCGTAATGTTGATTTCCCATCTCTAGTGTTCACAACAAACTTTCGGAAATCTGACAAAATTTTGAAAACACTTTTTAATTGTTTTTAAATTCCGTTTACCGCTTGCCATGCAGTGGTAAGTGGCGTTGCATAAACCGGCCGGGCAGTCCAGATGCGCCACAATGCGGCACCTACTGAACTCTTCTCTCGTTACCAGCAGTTATAAACTCGCAACCAAGCGCAGCTTATACAATGCAACGGTCCTCCAGGCGGACTCCGGCGCCCATTTACGTAGCCCGGATTTGGATGCAGCGCGACAAAATGCCCGGATAGTGGTCATCGGGGCCGGACTCTCCGGTCTATCTGCCGCGCAGCACCTGTTATCGCACGGTTTCCGACGCACAGTTGTTCTGGAGGCTACCGAGCGCTACGGCGGCAGGATAAACTCACAGCGCTTTGGGGACACCTTCTGCGAGCTGGGCGCGAAATGGGTAAAGATCGACGGGGCACAGGATTCTATGTACGAGCTGTTGCGCAACACCGAAGGTCTAGACAAGCAGATCAAGCAGCCCGAGCGTCCCATCTACGTCCACGTGGAGCAGGATGGCGATGGCAGCCAGGCAATCAAGCCAGCCATGGCGGAGCTCATCGACACCTTGTTTCGGCAGCTATGCCGAGGCTTTAAGGTCTCCGACCGAGTGAAGCGCGGCGAAGATATGCAGGCCTTGGACAACGTAATGAGCTACTTCGAGCAGAGAGCAATAGAATCATTGCCGCCACATTCCAGCAGCCAGAGGAGCAGCAGGCGGCGCGGGAGATCTTCCAGTCCCTGTTCAAGGAGTTCGGCAGTGTCTTGGGATGCTGCCTAGAGTATGTGAACATTGAGCACATTACCAAGTGCCCGGTGCAACCCGAAAAGCGACCACTTTACGTGCCCACCGGACTGGATAATGTCGTAGAGGAGCTCACACAACAGCTGGATAAGGATCAGTTGCAGACGGGCAAGCCGGTGGGTCAAATTCAGTGGACCCCGTCGCAACTCAAGGGTGTGGGCTGCCTGGACGGCAGTCTTTATAGCGCGGATCACATTATTTGCACCCTACCGCTGGGCGTCCTCAAAAGCTTTGCGGGCATACTGTTCCGGCCAACATTACCGCTAGATAAGTTACTGGCCATACGCAACCTGGGTTTTGGCAATCCTTTGAAGATCTATCTCTCCTACAAGAATCCAATTAAGAGATGGCTTAAGACAAGCCTGCGACCACTTGGGACACATCCAAGTCGCTCCACCGATCCGGAAGTGGAGCGTAATTGGACCCAGCAGGTGGTGGAGATTAGTCAGATGCCCAGCAGCCAACATGTTCTGGAAGTGCATGTAGGTGGCGGATACTACGAGGAGATTGAGAAGCTTCCCGATGACAAGCTGCTGGAACAGATTACCACGTTGCTGAGACGCTGTATTAGCAATGATTTAATCCCCTACCCCGAGGGCTTGCTCCGTTCCAACTGGAGTACGTCGGCATGCTACCTCGGCGGACGTCCATACTTCTCCACAAACAGCAGTGCGCGCGATGTCCAGCGACTGGCGGCGCCGCTGGGGGAGATGTCACCGAGCCTGCTCTTTGCCGGGGATGCCACTGCCGTTCAAGGCTTTGGCACCATCGATGCAGCCCGGTCCAGTGGCATCAGGGAAGCTCAACGCATCATCGACTATTACAGAAACATCGTGCATTGTTATTGATTGGGAATTAATCTCTCAAAATTCAACCAAAAATGGTACAAAGAATCTAAAAATGGGAACTCACTAGTCAAAATTCATAGTTAAAAGTTATTGTATATATTTATGCCATTATATTATTTTAAAGTTAGGCGTAGCACTTTAATAATAAAAACATCAACAAAAGTGATACTTTAAATCTAATGTGACAATTTGATAATTAGGGAATATATTAATCGATATTCAAAGAAGTTTATTTTTCGGGATTTTATTTGATAAGACAAACTGATACCGAAGTCCTAACCCAATAGGCGCCTTCAAAGTCAAACATTTAATTAATATTATAAACTTTATCGCTTGCTACGTCTAGACCAGCATATAAGATTTGTTTTTGTTGATCTCCAAGGGGTCGATCACCTCATATTTTCACCAAACATACGTGCAAACAAACAGGTGCTTAAAGAACCCATTTACGATTTCGCTGATAACACCTTAAGTTATATAGCTGAACTTGAAATAGTGAAGTGCCCTAGAAACCTACATCTTCCAGTTATATTTGGTTTTGTGTGCTTAATTTTTCTGTAACTACTTTTTCAAATTGTTTGTCAAAGATTATGACGTTTAAATAGCTTTTTTTTATAATTAAACTATTTTAACTTTACTCTGACCAAAATTGAACACCATTATTATTTTTTGTTGTATGTACACATGTAATTAAGATAATTAAAAAACTATTATTAAGGACATTTAACACCACTATTCCTGTTCAATTTCATCGGCAGCAGCACTCACTTCCTTCCAGAGTACTCCATATCCTCGGATTTGGTGAAGCGAGAGCACACGGCCATTCGTAGGAAGTAAACGCCCTCGATTTTGGCTGGAACCATGTGGATATTACCACGTCCGTTGATCCTTTTAAGAGAGCCTCACTGCGCTCGTTGCTGCCCTTCATTCTAAGCACACCAGTCCCATGTTGACCTCTGCCGCCAGTTCAACCTGAGTCCGCAACGCAGAGTTCTCCAAACTGCTTGGCGAAGTTGCAATCCCTGCGGATATGTGCTTGAAGATTTTCCACTCCATACAGCGCAGGACAAACCAGAGTTGAGGGCTCGGAATCGACGTCCCAGAGGAATCTGCCAGTGACGATAGTCCGGAGCAGATCCCTGCATGTCATGCTTCAGGTATAGGGATCCACGTTGAAAGCATTTACCACCCAGCTGGGATCTTCACCACATGGCCGAGCAGTCAAAGTTCACCACATCCATTTGTGAGGGTTGAATTTAAGGAATCCGCTTTTTCAATGCCTTTCATTAGATATCTGTACTCCGGACAGATGAATGCTGAGCCGGCATAGGCGGCATCCACATGGATCCACACATTATGCTTGTTGCCCACCGGTCCACACTCATCCAGGTAATCAAAAGCACACGAGTTCGTGGTGCCCAAGGTGACCACAGCATAGAAGGAATCAAACCCTTGCCAATCCTCTCGATGGCCTTTTCCAGGCAGCACCACGCATCCTGTGATTCTCCGAGGGAACTAATCGCGACGTACGCCTCCCAAAGACCAGCACGTTCCACGGAGAGTGCGCCTGATCGGAGCAGTAACCACGAGCTTTGCCACGATGGTGTGCTCATCCCACTCGGGTGTGTGCCTTTACTCCTGAATTTTCTTGGCCTTGGCTCCCAGAAGAGCCACCAAAGTGGTCTCACTGCCGTTCCCTGATAACACCGCCTCCTTTCCCCCGAGCAGGCCAGGAACTCAGCGGGCAGATCCACATCTTCCCAGCCAGTCCATCATGACCACCTCCAGTTCCGTGCAGGCGGGACTGGCGATCCATGTGAATCCTATACAGGCAATGGCACCGCTCAGCATATCAGCCACAATGGACGGATAGGAGTTGCCCGCGGGGAAGTATGCATGGAATTGGGCTACCCCAGTGGGTCATTCCCGGCATGATGACTCTCTCGATATCCTGCATCACATCCTGCCAGTCTCCGCCTTCTCGGGAGCAGCATCCGGAATGAGGGGCTTCAGATAACCGGGTTTACTTCCGGCAGGACACGCTGCAAGGAAAATTATTTTATTAACCCTTTTGCTAATTGATTAGAAAACTTTGGAATAACTACTACATATTGCTAAATGATATTAACTAATTTTATGATTAAGAAACAAGAAGTACCTTCGCTTTGGCCTCAGGTGACTAAGCCATTTATATTCACATAAAAATCAGCCTTGAAATGTCGATATTATAAAACCTTTTATTACTTTATGGTTAAATATGTTATTACATAAACAAAAAATTGTGAAGGGTCAGAAACCGTTTTCTTTCTAATGGCTAATGCCGAAAATTATGTGAAAGGAAAATTAATGTGTACACACGGCTGAGGTCAATCAACACAGGTTTCTTACAATAATTGCCATTGACATTGCCACAAATTAAATTTAATTTTATCTAATTAAGGCACTCACTCACTTCTGTCACCTGTATCCATACACTGACTTACCTTTCCCGGATGCTTTCCATATATTCGGCTATAAAATCCACCATTGTCTTGGCAAAATCTTTGAACTCTGTGCCTGCATACCAATCTTTAAAGGTTAAACAGCGGTTAAAATGCATTATTGTATTGATTAGAAATAGGTATGGACATACCGGCAGACTGGGATTTGGTATATCTTTCATACTGTTAGCTTTATTGTTATTATTGGGTAATTCGCTCATGTTGTGTTAGACTTAAATTTATTTGCAAGCGAATAAAATAGAACCTATAGGTGAATTTGCAAAACTACAACTGAAATTGTGGCAGGCACTCTATCAGTATTTATACTGCTCCGACTTAGAACTTACAGATAATAATCCTTATCAAGCAGCTACGGGACTAGATTGTGCCTTAGTTTACACTGTGGGAAAACTATTATATTTTTTTGTAAAATTACATCATTTTAAATGTGTTAAATATACTTTTGTTTTTGTTATTTTTGTTAAAGTCTAAATACTTTCTAAGCATCAACATTTTCTGTTTTCTTCTTTAGTTAGCTGTCGTTTAGATCTTGTGTGGCGGAACCGGAAATAATTTAACACGAAGTCTAGGACCTGTTGTAATTAGTTCTCACATTTAAACGGTAGACAGCGAACTTTTTTAAACCAGGACTTTAAATTATCTATCCATCGGATGGCATTATCAGCTCTTACAGAAATATAGTGCAATTCTATTGGTTTAAAAATATGTCTTCAAAAATGTATCTCGAAATGTCACAAATATTCCATAACTTGAAACCCACTAATTAAAATGTACTGTTACAATTTGTTGTATATATATTTAAGCAATTAAATTTTTTATTTAGGAGTAGCACGTTAACAATAAAAGCATTAACAACAACAACATCGATACACATAAAATATGTCACTATAACACTAATGTGGCGATGGAGGCAGGCCTACCATCTTTTCTTGCGATGTAAATTCCCTAAACATGTCGCGATTGGTCAAAGTTTAGGATCTGTTCCGGCTTTAAATTTCTCAAAATATGAAATGAATACTTTATATAAAACATACATCTATGAATAAAATTTTGAAAGCTAAAAGAGCTTCTGCGTTCTTAGCCATGATTTTGTTGATAACTTCTTAAATAATATATAATAACAATCAATTAATGAGTTAATGCGGCTTTCTAAATTCGAAATAAGCCGGAACAGAACTTCATAATCTCCATTTACTGCTCCTTTTCCATTTCATCGGCAGCAGCACTAACTTCTTTCCACGAGTATTCCATATCCTCGGACTTGGTAAAGCGAGAGCACACGGCCATCCGTAGGAAGTAAACATCCTTGATTTTGGATGGAACCATGTGGATATTACCACGACCATTGATCCTCTTCAACAGAGCTTCGTTGCTCTCGTTGCTGCCCTTCAGTCTGAAGCACACCAGTCCCATGTTGACCTCTGCCGCCAGTTCGAACCTTGAATCCGCAACGCAGAGTTCTCCAAACTGCTTGGCAAAGTTGCAGTGCCTGCGGATGTGGCCTGCAGATTCTCCACTCCATACAGACGCAGGACAAACCAGAGTTTGAGGGCTCGGAATCGACGTCCCAGAGGAATCTGCCAGTGACGATAGTCCGGAGCAGATCCCTGCATGTCATGCTTCAGGTATAGGGGATCCACGTTGAAAGCATTTACCACCCAGCTGGGATCCTTCAGCCACATGGCCGAGCAGTCAAAGTTCACCAACATCCATTTGTGGGGGTTAAAGTTGAAGGAATCCGCCGTTTCAATGCCCTTCATCAGGTGGCGGTACTCCGGACAGATGAATGCTGAGCCGGCATAGGCGGCATCCACATGGATCCACACATTATGCTTGTTGCCCACCGGTCCACACTCATCCAGGTAATCAAAAGCACACGAGTTCGTGGTGCCCAAGGTGACCACAGCATAGAAGGGAATCAAACCCTTGGCCAGATCCTCCTCGATGGTCTTTTCCAGGGCAGCACCACGCATCCTGTGATTCTCCGAGGGAACTAATCGCAGACGTACGCCTCCCAAAAGACCAGCACGTTCCACGGAGGAGTGAGCCTGATCGGAGCAGTAGCCCACCAGCTTTCCGATGATGGTGTGCTCATCCCACTCTGGATGCTGCTCCTTAACTTCCTTCACCTTCTTGGCCTTGGCGCCCAGAAGACCCACCAAGGTGGACTCGCTGGCCGTTCCCTGGATGACGCCGCCTCCCTTTCCGCCCGAGCAGGCCAGGAACTCAGCGGGCAGATCCAGCATCTTGCCTAGCCAGTCCATCATGACCACCTCCAGTTCCGTGCAGGCGGGACTGGCGATCCACGTGAATCCTATGCAGGCAATGGCACCGCTTAACATATCAGCCACAATAGCTGGATAGGAGTTGGCCGTGGGGAAGTAGGCATGGAACTTGGGGCTGTGCCAGTGGGTTACTCCTGGCATGATTACCCGCTCGATATCCTGCATCACATCCTGCCAGTTCTCTGGTTTCTCGGGCGCAGCATCCGGAATGAGGGGCTTTAGATAGCCGGGCTTAACTTCTGGTAGAACGCGCCTGAAACGAGAATAATCTTATTAGGTCTCTGATTGCATGAAAAGCTTCTTGCTAATTGATTCTAAAACTTCGTTACCCCACAAAGGCAGTGGGGAATAAGAAAAGGAAGAAGTGAAGGAACCTTCCATTACCAACTTGTTGCCTTGTGGCAATAAAAAATCAATATAAATGTGTGGAAAAGTGTCGTCAAATGAAGGATAAAAGAAAATAGAAGCTACTTATTTTCACTTGTTTGTGCTTTAAAAAATTGCAGAAATCATGAGGGACGTATAAGAAAAGATTTTTATTTATAGAAAAGAATGAATCGTACCTTTCAGTTTAATAATTTCAAATCAACTAAGAGAATTCCCACTTAAAGTTCTATAATTGTATTTAGTACATTCAAGTCCGATTTATTTATATATTTATCAAGGCAAAAGAAACCTTAAATAAGTTGTTAAATCTGCACAAGAACAATGCACAACCTGTCGCTTTTGCCCCCAAGGCTTCTGAGCAATTATATCTACATAAAAGTTAACCTTGACACGCCAACATTATAAACCTTTTTAATGCCGTAATGATTAATTAGCCGTAGGCTCAACAGTGAGAGCTAAGAAACCGCACAAATAAATAACAGAAACTGTGAAAGTACTTTGAAGTGGAGTATGCAATTGAGAAGGTCGCTTAAACTGCTTTTAAATACTATATTTATAACATAAAGCAAAGTTCCCAATATAATCGTGGCGGCTTTCCCATGACTAATGCTCCAAAGCGTGTGCAAAATGTCATTCACTTGCCCGGATATCGAACAGAACGAACTTTCAAATCGAACAAAAAATCTCAGATGAGGTCAAGCGACACAGGTTGCTTATAAATAAAACCTATATGTGTATCGATACTGCTACAAATTAAATTTAATTCAAGCTAATTGAAGGCACTCATTCACACTCGCTCGTTCTCAGTGACTTACCTTTCGCGTATGTTCTCCAAATATTCGGCAATAAAATCAACCATTGTCTTGGCGAAATCCTTAAACTCTGGTGCCTCCATGTCGATCTTAAAAGGGAAAGGGTATCAAGCGGTCAGGATTGATTTGAGCATATTTGTTTTAACACAAAACTATAGACATACCGAGACCTTGGGATCCAGTTTATCTTCCACATTGTTAGCTTTACCATTACCGTTAGTTTGCTTTGGTTGGTTAGTGTTATTAATGGGTAATTTGCTCATGTTTTGTTAGTCTAAAGATAATATGTAATGGAATGAAATTAGATCTTTAATGGAGGATAAGAAGAAATGACAAAAAGCACTCTATCTATCAGTGATTTAGAGATAATGCAAACCATCGCCAGCTGTACACTGAGCTAAAACTAATTTACATATGTATATTAATTGTTTACTATGCAAGTTGGGAGTTCTTTAGTTTGTATGCAGCTTAAACTAAACTTTTTACTGTTTTAATAACTATTTTCTAATTTCATAATAATAGTTTTAATTAAATACTTGTTCGTTTTGCTTGAGTGCTTGAGTGATTTTTCCCAATTCCATTTACTTTTAACTACTAATTAAAGGCAAGATTATACCCAATAACTTGATTATTTGGTGACACAGTAAATTTATATGATAATTAGAATATAACCATTAAGATTTTGCATTAATTAACTCTGAATTATTTTTCTCAATTCACATTTAACAACGTAAACAAGTTGGCATTGAGACTGGCGACTTCTGTCTATGCCAGCAAATACATACATTTTTTTTTTAATTAATACACAAACTTGCAGATACTAAGACCCAAAAAGTAAGCCACTAAAGAATGCTAAACTTTAGAAAACACATGAGATTAAAGCAAGGCCAGGTTAGATGCCCAATTTTAGTTCTCGCATTACGTATACGCCGTGTGTTAGCCCCGAAAATGATTCTCTTTCCATGCACTCATTATGTTGCCCAAGCACTTTAGGTATTTAAATCTTAGACACACACACACGCCACTCACCGTGCACTTTAGTTAACTGCTTTTAATTATTTGCACTTGTCGTCGCCGAGCTTTGTTTCCGTTTCGAACTAAATCTTTGCCCAACTAGAGGAGTTCGCTGCGGGATACTATATGTATAATGCCAGCAGATAATTCTGTTCGATCTGTTCGGAGCTGCTGTGCTGTGCTCGGCATTCGCCTCTTAACTGAGCGCCACTCGCTTTTGGCCAAGGCTTTTAAAGCTCGGCCAACTGCGCTGCTGCTGTCGCAGGACCGGTTCAAGCCGCGCTGCCGCTGAACTCCAACTTGTGCGGGCTGTAAAAATATATATTATATATATATGTATATTCTGCACTTGATTTGTGTTACGTTCTTTACGTTCTGTGTGGCGATTTTGTGACTCTTTTTGGAACATGCATTGATTTTTGTGAGTGACTCAGGAGCAGGTACATTACACTCGATGGTGGAAAATTTAATAACAATCAATTAATACAAATTAATATATTAAAAAATAATAATAATGAATCCCCAAACTAGCATTCAACATAAAATAAATAATATATTTAAACTAATAGAAAATATTAATGAAAAGCTGTGATTCAGTTAGTTTTTTAAACTTAAGTGTTATCAATAAAGTCTAAAGCCTTTTTAAGAAATAGGTTTTCTATGTAATTTTTTAATTTTAAAGGGAATAGTTTCCAGCAAAATAAAGTTATTTAATTATGCTAAAAAGTATTTCTTATAAAATTAAATATTATTATTATTATTATTACATGATATTATTATTATTACATAGAAAAAGCTTTTTTTAAAAAGTTATTTAACTATATTATCGTATTATCTATCATTCTTTTTTATACAGGAAATTCTTGAAGTTTATACTTTATTTTTGTTGAGTAAATAAATTCACTTAATAACTTTTAATTCCCCGAAGCTTACTCCTCAGATTCAGCTCACGTTCTGACCAACTCTGCTCTCATTTTTGAGAGAAATGCAAACTGAGAGGTGCCAGGAATCCCCGCTCATGAGTCACAACTAGCCGGGATTTCCTCAAGCTCTGGCGAAAAAGATCGTACGCATGAAAGATAAACAAACAAATTAAAAATGCATAGATGAAACAAGGCACGCTTTACGCCCATCTGCGGAACAGGTTTTCAAAACATAGCATCTCATGTGACGCTTGATTTTTTGATATGGCGACCCCCTGATCCGCTCTTGGCATAGTGACGTCAAAAAAAAAGGTCCATCCCCTCCAGCCTCTCACTCTTGCTTTCTGATTGTGCTAGGGGAGGAAGTGAGTGTGGGTTAGGTTGAGGAGCACTCCGAATAGGGGAAGTGTGTGAGGGGGGCTTGGGGTTCGTGGGGTGACCTGCGGGTTAGGCCAACTGTTGCTGAGCTGGAAGTCTGTGTGTGTGTATATATGTGTGTGCGAGTGTGTGCCTGACAACATTTCAACGAAGCCACTTTGGCAAATCACTTGACTGAATCAACAGATTTATATGCCATGCCAACGGCTCTGCTTTCGATTTTAATGCGTTGGGTGCACCATCCGCCCACTCCTACTCCCACTCCCATTCTACCCCCATTATGCTCCTTTACGGGTGGCTGAAGTCAGGGATTGGGACAAAAGGAATACTACGATTTGATTTATGGCTGACTTGGAGTTGCGAGAGAATAGTAGAGACTTTGGCATTCATGGCGCCCTCAAATGGAGATTGCATAATAAGGCTGAAGAAGGGTTTAGATAAGAGAAACAATCAGTGAGTTTTAGTCAAATTGTATAAACTACACATTTAGTTAATATCAAAGGAATACATTAATTATTGGGTATAGATATTTTATGTGTCATCCAAGAGCTTGGTTATTTGACTATTCACTACAGGAATGTAGTCTCTATAGTTAACACTCAATTTTGTTTATAGAGGGCAAAATTAGGGCTAACTCACGATTGCAAATTTCCTTTATGATTTTAATAACATTTAATTTATTATAAATTTAAACCTCGAAAAGTTGCAACAACAGGTGTTTGTTATTTCCCCCTAAACACAAATCAGTTCTCCAATTCTGCATTATTTTGGGATTTATGAACATTAAAAACAATTAAAATAATATTACCTATGCATTTTGCTTATTTTTGTGTATTTACCAGAATTAAAAAAAATCATAGTAAAATTAATTATAATACCAAAAATCGGCAAATACATGTTAATAAACCCGCTTAACAAACTTTACTATAAACAAAATAACAAAATAAATTTAATTTTTCTGTAGTTTTCACATACAAATTTCAAGCAGCATCGATTCCAAGACTATATATAGTACATATATACTTTTGTGCAAAAATAAAGCAAGTGAGAAAAATACAGTGGTAAATATTGAGTTATAGTTCAGTTATCCCAGTTATATATATTAATATGTATATTTCTATACTGGTTATACATATATCATATATTTGTACATAGTAAAAATCATTAGCAAAGTCCTAAAATAGCTACTAAGGTATCAGATTCCCCCCACTAACCGGTAGAATTCATAAAACACAATTTAAACACAAAAAATGTTACGGTTTAATTTTTATTGTTTACGGTTCACAAACAAATTTGTTCTTTGTGTCCTGCAAACACTGGTTGGTTGCACTGAAATTCTTTTTAGCCAGAGATGCAGATTCTTATGGACCAAATCAGTTGGAAGCGCGCCCCCCAGAACGACCCAGACAACGGGGGGACAACAAAGGTTGAGCCGCATTTGGAGCACGCACAGAGGACCGAGGATCGACCCCGATCGGGAGGAGAATGAATAGAACCGTTTACAGGGGACAAATTTTGGTTGTTTCGCTTCATCTTCTCCACAGTCAGTCAGTCGAAGTGCATATTTCAGCAGAAACAACAATCGAAAAGTACTTAGTTAAATGCTATATGTAGGTAGTTACAACTTAACGGAACTAGGTGCTGCACCCAGCCTACTACTGTGCAATGGTCGACGGCAGGTTGAGCAGCGTGCTCTGTCCGCTGGGCAAGTAGGCAACACCGCGGGACCTCGATAGCTGGTAGGCAATATCCTCGGCGGCCTCGATACGACGCAGCTCCACAAGACCATCGCCGGCCTCGCCGAATGATTTGGCCAACAGATCGGCGGCAGCGGCATCACCCTCCGCCGAAATGATGGAGGCGAGCTTCTGCTGCTCGGCCTTCTCCACGACGAAACGAGCCTTCTCCGCCTCCTGCTGGGCCACCTGTTTCATCTCAACAGCCTGTGTGAACTCCCGTCCGAAGGTCAAGTGTGTCAGCGAAATGTCGTCCAGAATGAAGCCGAATTGCTTGGCGCGCACGGTCAGTTCCTGGGAAACTCTCTGGGACACCATCTGATGGGAAATCAGAAAGTTTATTTTAATATAAACCCATTAAAGATGCCTTCACACAGCTTTCTGGACTAAAACCCACCTCACGCTGGGTAATCAGCTCGCCGGCATCGAACTGGGCGACCACAGCCTTCAGCACCTCGGGCGCGATAGAGGGCAACACACGCTCGTCGTAATCCTGGCCCAAAATAGTGTAGATCTTGGGCAGCTGGTCGGGAATGGGTCGGTACAAGATACGCAGGGTGATGTTCACATTCTGCAAATCCTTGCTACCCGTGATGACCGGCACATTGCGGGGCTGGGAGCGAATGTCAAAGATGATGGGCCGCTGCACCCACGGAATAAAGAAGTGTGTGCCCTCGCCGACCACATTCTCCTTGATGCCGGTGAAGCGATCGAAGATCACCGCCCGGTGGCCGCCTTCCACATTATATAACGCCGAGTTCACAACACCTCCCAGCAACGCCACACCAAGACCCATCTGGCCGATGCGATTGAAGAATTGAGCAGCCATTGTGTCTGCGGTAAAGTAAAAAATAAATAGAGTTAATCAATTGATAAACTTTTACACATAAATAAACAGCCGACTGGATTAAGCAATTTCGTCACGTTTTTAGGTTAGAACATCATTGCGGGCCGACAACGTGATGTTTACATGACTTTCGACGTGAATGAATGGGGTTTCCTGCGAAGCGGAAACTGCGCGTTTAACCACTTACTATTTAAAGCTTTTTGAGTTAAATTAAATCAGAATATTGTGCAATTTTCCTCTGGAATAGAACAAAACACGAAATTCCAACCGCACTGGGTCCAACACATCGATAAAACATTGATAAAAATATCGATACACCGATGTTTTCGAATTTCGATGCTTTTCGACCAATCGATGTTTCTGTGTCATCGCTATCAAGGGAATTTTGTATGCTTATAGTATGATCTCTTAAAAAGTTTAGTTTAGAGCACTGCTCTGTTATGCTTTTTCTTTTATTCACCAGAAATTTTCTGTTAACACTAGTTATGGCAACAGTGTTGCCACTCATTACTTAGGTAAAATAATTGGCACTGTACAATTTTAGGTTATCGATTAAAATTTATACTGAACATGGCGGTCATTTAAAAAAAATGAAACTATTTACGTTTATAAAGTTCTTTAGTAATCAAAACATTTACACGTTTAGTAGTTATTGCATTTTAATTTGTACAAAATAAGGGTTTTTTGAATACCCCAAAACTACTGCGTCATCTCTGCTCGCCCCGCACCCTTGGGCATCTTCTTATTGGTAGAATCCTCCAGCTCCTTGGCCTTGTAGTAGTGCGGCGCCACCTCCAGCAGCCACTTGCTCTCGATCTCGATCACCTGGCGCATATATTCCTTGGACGTGAACACAAGCTCGTGGTAGAGCACCCACCGCGGCAGTTCCTCGAAGAGCGACGAGTTCGGGTGTATCATTACCGTCTGGTTGTGCTTTATGGTCTTGTAGTGGCCCCCCTTGGACAGGCGCGCCACGTGGTAGAAGTAGCCAGCGGTGGCCGCTTTGCGCACATTAATCGTCTCCGGCAAGCAGCTGACCATGTCGATTTCAACGCGCTGCATCAGACCGACGAGCTGCTCGCGGACATCCCGTGCCCGCTTCATGGATCGATACTGGATGAAGTTCTCATAGCACCACTGGGTGCTGTAGTCCGTCTCTGCCCATTGATTGTACACCTGAAGCAGGCTCAGGTGATCTCCGTGCATGTGATTGAAGTTTTTTCGCGCTGTGTCCGCGTGGATGATCTTGTCCTTGGGCCTGTAAAAGATGGCGCTGTTCACGGAGAGCATGGCGGCAATGGTGACCATCTCCTCGGAGCATTTATATCTGTAAAGGATGACATATTTAGAAAGGATTTTCAACTCTTATTAAGACTTACTTTTCGCTTGCCAGCAGCATTTTGCCCATCATGGGATCCACTGGAAACTCGGCCATGCGGCGTCCCAACTTGGTCAGTTCCCCGTGGTGATTAAGGGCGCCTAGCGCATAAAGCTGCTCTAGAGCCAAAACAAGCGTCTCATGTGGCGGCGGATCCAGAAAGTCGAAGTGTATGAGATCGTTAATTCCCAGAGCCTTCAACATAAGCACAGCGTTGCCCAGATTGATGCGCTGTATCTCCGGCACCGTGTTGTCCTCCAGCTCATGCTTGTACGCCCACGCAGTGTACAACCGGAAGCACTTGCCCGGAGCAGTGCGACCCGCTCGGCCAGCTCGTTGATTTGCCGACGCCTTCGAAATGGGTACTACCATTAGAGACTCCATTCCCGTCCGAGAATTGAAATTATTCTGCTTGGCGAATCCGGGATCGATCACATAGATGATATTGTCGATGGTCAGCGAAGTCTCCGCTATATTCGTGGCAAGGATCACCTTGCGAGCATTGGGTGGCGTGGGCTCAAAGATCTTGGCCTGCATGTCACTGGGCAGATTCGCGTAGACGGGAATGACGATCAGTTCACGAATTTTGGAGCCCAGTCGCTTGACACGATCCTGTAAAACCTCCTGGCAAGTCTCAATCTCATCCTGGCCGGTAAGGAACACCAGAATATCGCCCAAAGGCTGGGTGGCATGGATCTGCAGGACCGAGACACAGCAGGCATCGATGTAGTCCGCTTCCGGGGCCTTTGTGTAGAAAATATCAACGGGATATCGACGACCGGGTATCCTGAAGATGGGTGCATCATCGAAGAAAGCCGAGAACTTATCCGCATCCAAGGTGGCACTCGAGATGAGCAGCTTCAGTTCTGGCCTAAATCGTGCAATATCTTTGACCAGGCCGAACAGAATGTCCGTGTGCAGAGTACGCTCGTGAGCCTCGTCAATAATCATCACGCTGTAGGAGGCGAGATCGGGCTCTGAGAGGAACTCCCTATGCAGGGTACCGTCCGTCATGTATTTGAGAATGGTGCGGTCCGAGGTGCAGTCCTCAAAGCGGATGCTGTAGCCCACCTCGTTGCCCAACTTAACACCCATTTCCTCGGCGACACGAGCTGCCACCGACATGGCGGCCACACGACGAGGCTGGGTGCATCCAATCATCTTCTTGTCCTTGGTGAAGCCCGCTTCGACCAGATATTGCGGCACCTGGGTGGTCTTGCCTGAACCGGTTTCACCTTCTATGATAAGCACCTGATGCTCCTTCACTGCTGCTATCAGATCGTCCTTAAAGGGATACACAGGCAGGGATCTTTTAGTTTCCTCCAAAGTTAAACGTTTGCGCTCCTTCTCTGTGAGTTCGGGCTGCCGACTGGTGGACTTTTCGCGGCTACCGTCCAGGGTTAAGGCTTGAATAAAGTCAATCTGATCGTCCAAGAGCAGCTCGTACTCCTCCTCAGCCTTGGCATCCTTGGCACCAAAGTGGAAACGTGCCGAGGCCAACTGTTCGGCCTCCCATTTCTTTTGCTCCGAGTTCGGTTGCCTTTCAAAGTCATCCACTTCCACATATTCCGCTAGGGGAGGGCAAAGGAAATTAGAGATTGGAAAGAATTATGATTAGATCAATTACTCACATTTCTCGCCCTTCTTCATGTCCTGGGGCATGTGATAGCGTTGCACGCGCTCCAGTTCCCTTGCCTTCTCATGCTCCTTGGCTATGTTCAACAGCTGCTTCTTATACTGGCGCTCCTCCTTCTCCCGCTTGGTCAATCTGCAAGAGATATCTCATTAGTGACTATTAACCCTCACTCTTCCCTAACTCTTCTCTTACACGCTCTCATCGAAGAGATATTCATCGTCCAGGATGTCCGCCTCCAGTTCGGCCACCTTGTCATCCTTGCGCTTCTCCAAGTACTGACGACGGGACTGCAGACGCAGGTGGGGCACAATCTTGTCCCGATCCTCGTGCTCCAGCTTCAAGCGCTTGGTGGCCTCCTCGATGGCCTTTCGCCCGCCGGTGGAGTCCACCACCTTTCTGGTCCGGTCCTCATCGCGCTGCTTTAGCCGGTTTGCAAACTCGTCTCGCTCCTGCAGATCCTTCAGCGCGACTCCTCCTCGCTGTCCGGCTCTTCGGGGCTGCTGCTGCTGCTGGCCGTTCGTTTCCTGTTTTTACCCGACATTTTTACTAATAAACAAACGAAACGAAGAAAGAAGAGGAAACACCGGCTGTTAATCGATAACCGATAATATTCAGAGGATGTGAATTTAGCTATTTTGAATCTATTTTTTAAATAAATTGTTGGCTACAATTTCTTAGCTTTTGTTTATTAATATATGTTTTATTTTATTTAATTATTTTAATCAAACGTTTCAAAACGTTTTTAATAAAAAACCACTTATAATAAAACAGCTATTTATTAGCTATCTTAATCGATAGCATTCTTTTACCCGATAATCGATACATATGGCTCTGTTATTTTTGTGAAATCCCATCTCAATTAAATCTCATCATGTCGCGCCAGTTAAGTTTTAATCCCCAAAAAGAGTTTGAATTGATTGAATATCCGGGCAAAGTGGTCAATACTGACCGGATGCTGGCCACGCTAGGCGGTATAATCAACATATCCAAGGTAAGCATTGAATTGCCACGATATGTCCATAGTCTCCATGGTATTCCATTCCAGGTGCTGGGAGATGAGGTCAAGCGGCTGCCACTGCGTTTCCATCCAGAGAATCCCTACAACAAGCCCACCTTTGGTGACTGTAACGCCAAGACCGGTGTCTGCTATCCATAACCGTCAGGCGTCACAAAAAGGACAGACAGCGACCGCCGGAGTACTTTGTGCGTGTTGTGGGCCACTGCAGCAGGGTGTTCTCCTTCGAATCCCTGTGTGACTTTCAGTACTTGCCCCTCTGGTCGACGCCGAGGAGTGACAGTGCCAATGCTGCCCTAGAGCTGACTTACGCCCTCGATCAATTGATGCCCAAGACAGCGCCGATCTGGACTTTTTCAAGTATAAATAGTTTCTTATATATTTAGTCATTTTAAAACTTTAATTGTTTTTTACAGACGTCGACATAGTCAGCTGCTGTCCCTTCCAGAATTGTTCACGCATGTAGATGTGGTCTATCCGGGATCATATCGCACCGACAGTCAGGAGGATGGCCAGCAGGAGGTGCTGGGTGTGCAGTCAAAGGCCACTTACGATAACCAGGGCGTCATCTCCTTTAACATGGTCGACAGCTTCCCCAGCCAGGCGGACTCACAGAATCTCAAGCGACTCAAGGTGAAGTACGTGTCCGATGAGCAGCTTGCCTGCGTGAAGAAACTCTTCGATGACTGCCTATTTGGACACGGATTGCGTTGCAATATGAGTCCGGACTGACCAATGACAAACTGAAGTGCATCACCCCATCGCTGGCATATTACTTCAGCAACGGTCCTTGGAGGACGATGTATGTGCGCTTTGGCTACGATCCTCGAAAGGATTTCAACAGTCGCTACTACCAGACCTTCGATTTCCGACTGAGATTCAGCACGGCCTCTCGGAATTCGTTTATTCCAAGAAGTTTGTAAAGCAGCGCAAGGCGGCGAACGCTTCTTCTGGCCCTTCCGAGGACGGTTCCTCCGATTTGGTCCAGGACATTGACTATCCCTATTTTGATGAGCAAAGCTGCCTCGTTCCGGCAATGTATGCTGCGTTACTCCGATGTCCGGATGGCAAGAATCCAGGAAATGCTGGAGAAGATACCAACACCGCTGACGGGGGCGGTGTGCAATGAGAGAACAGGCTGGCTACCGCCTGGTTTCGATGCCCAGGTGCGACAGATTGTGTGCGGCACCATCAGCGAACTGCTGCGAAGTCACTACCGCAAGGAGCACCTGACTGCTGAGGTGGAAGCCGTCCCTCAGACCGACGGTGCCGAGGAGGAGGACGAGGCCGATGCCGACGCCGACGTCGAGGATGAAGACACGCAAGAGGAGGACATGGAACTAGATGAATCGCAGGCGTAAGCAGCTCCGAGCAGTATGCAGATAATGATATCGAACAGCTCTTGGAAAATTACAGCTGAGACGATTCAAGATTAAACGTTGATTAGATATTTAAAGATGTAATCTTATTTAATTAATGACGAATAAATAGGTTATATGTTTTATGTTTCAAGCTAAATTCAATTCAATTAAGTTCATTCCAATATAAGCGTAGGCGCGGCCTTTATTTTTCCATATTCATACAAATAATTTGTATTAAGTTTCATTTCATGAGCAGAAGCTACAAAGTTTTAAAGAGAATTGTTATGATTAAGATAAACCTTTTGTGTAAATGCTGGCAGAAAAGCTCGTCTCTCGTCACCCGCTTAAGGCTTGCATCTGTCCAGGAATCGAGGGTAAAGGCAGACCTCGCGGATGTGATACCGGTTAAGCAGCCAGCAAAGGAACCGCTCCAAGCCCAATCCATAGCCACCGTGGGGCAAAGTTCCATAGATGCGCTGATCCGTGTACCAGTAGTATGGCTTGGGATCGATGCCCTCGCGCTGGTAGCCCTTCAGCAGCTCTCGCTGTCATGGATCCTCATAGATCCGCCCACAATCTCACCCACATTTGGCAGCAGAACGTCCACGCTCTCGGTCAATCGCTGATCCTCCTTGCAGCGCGACATGTAGAAAGACTTAATCTCGGCCGGGAAACGGCACAACATGATGGGTTCGTTAATGGTATCAGTCATCTTGCGCTCCGGAGCCTCGGGTATATCCTCGCCAAATCGTAGAAGGTGCCATCGTCCTTGGTCACATTGTTCTCCTTCAGCCACTTGATGGCATCCTCGTAGTTCATGCGACGGAATGGCTTCTGCGGCGGCTTGAAGTCAGGGTTGAGCTCCTTCACCAAGTAGCCCCAAGGGGACTTCAGCACGCGATCCACCACGTCGCACACCAGCTCCTCCAGGCGGTCCAAGAGTTCTTCGAACGTGATGAAGGGACACTCGGCCTCGATGTGCGAATACTCAGCCAGATGGCGACGTGTGCGGCTCTGCTCGGCTCGATAGCTCTGGGAAATGGTGAAGACATCGCCCAGGGCCGGCAGACACGTCTCCAGATACAGCTGCGAGCTCTGTGTGAGGTAAGCCTCCTCGCCGAAATACTGCAGCTTGAAGAGGGTGGAGCCACCTTCCACTTGGGTTTGCACCAAAGTTGGGGGCGTCACCTCATTATAGCCACGGGCCTCGTAATGCGCCCGGAATGCCTGAGCCACCACGGAACGCATTTGAGCACCTTGGAGGTGTTCTCGCCACGAATCATGATGTGCCGGTTGTCAAGCTGCACATCCGGCTGGGCTTCCTCGTTGAGAATGGCGTCAGCGCCACCGGGCGGAGCCAATCCAATCACCTCCCAGTAGTCTACGTTAAGTTCATGGCCGCCAGGAGCCGTCTTGCCCTCCGGTACCAGCTTCAAGTGCCAAACAGAACCACACTACTCTCCGTGCTCAGACCAGGGCATCGTACGTCTGGCAGAGCTGATCGTTAAGCACGCACTGCAGGAAGCCTGTCCATCGCGAAGCGTAATGAAGATAAGAGACTTGCCCTGACGCCGGAGCCGATGCACCCAGCCGTAGACCTTGACGCGAGAGCCGCGATTGGCGGTGCCCTCGAGAATGCGAATCTTGCGGGCCACCGGCCAACTGGGATCCTCGTGATTTTACTTTGCGTGCCTCCTCTAGATTTTGCTGGCGCTTCACCGCATCTTCGGCCTCTCGCTGCTGCTTCTCAGCATTCTTCTGGGATTCGCGCACAAACAGCTTCTGGATTTTCTTCAGCTGCGACTTGGCAGCCGGCTCGAAGGGCTCTACCGCATTCGGATCCTTGCTGTCCACGTAGATGGTGGGGAAGGGCTCCTTTCCAGCACTCCGCATCGCTGCAGGATGGTCTTAAATGGCTTGGACTCACTGCCATCGCCTGCCTCATCGTTTCCCTTCTTTTCCGAAGTGAATATAGAACCTGCACATGGTCATAAATACATATATATTGCACATTATAGATCGATAATTTTGGCTGGCCTGACAACGTGGACGAATTGGGGCTCCAAGATTTCATCAAGTAGGCACACTTACCTAGGGTTAACTCTGCCATTTGATCGGCGGACATCTTGTTTGCTCAATGAATAATACTTTTACTGAGAACTGGGATTTATATCTCCGTAAAAGCTGTTAAAATTGCATCAGCTTGACGTTCTGAACAAAACACCGATACGACTTGCCGGATATTCGATTGTCCGATAGATCAGGGTAGCCAAATACATCATTTAATAAAAACTTATTTTATGTTAAAATGTTTTCAAATTGTGAAGATTTAGAAAAATATCAATCCACTTTATCTTTATCTGATAAATATTTTGCTTTTTTAATACAAAAAAAAATATAATAAAGCCATAAAAAAGCTTAATCTAGCTAGAAAATATCGCCCATCTCTAGAGCTTTACAACCAAGTGGTATTCGTGTTATTTTTTAGCACTATTTAAGGTGGTAAAAAAGGTAAACAATTTTGGAAATAGGAAAATGCCATCGAAAACAGGTAATTTAGTTAATCCGACATATGGAAATCCGTTTAATATTATATATTCCTTACCCCGTCCCAAGGATCAAAATCTTCCCCAAGTCGGTGGTTTGCGAAGAGAGCAACCTGCGAGGTGACATCACCTTTTCCTCGGGCTGCGTTGTGCACCCAAGTGCCACAGTCATCGCTGATGCAGGTCCCATAATAATAGGGGAAAACTGCATTATCGAGGAGTATGCAACCATAGCGCATCGCCTGGAGCCTGGGGCCAGCTGGGATGCTAATAATATCTTCAGCATTGGCACCCACAACGTTTTCGAGGTGGGCTGCAATGTGGAGGCAGCTCGAATAGGCGACAAGAATGTGTTCGAGAGCAAATGCTTCGTGGGCCGCGGCGTGACCGTGTCCAATGGATGTGTAGTTGGTGCCGGAATCAAGATGCTCACCAGCCAGCGCTTACCGGAGAACACCATTGTCTATGGGGAGCAAGCCCTACAGCGCGAGGCCATCGACAAGCAAGGATCGCAGACGCTTCAGATCGACTTCCTGCGCAAGGTCCTGCCCAATTACCACCATCTTCGCAAGCCCAACTATGATCCCAAGAAGGCACGCAGCGTTGTCTAGTTTATAGCCTCGGGCCCATCATGTATTCTCCTCTTTCATAGTATTAAATTCCTTCATCTCATTCTCGAATGTGACCATTGTGTGATCGCACAGCGCCTCCAGATCCTCCAGTCCCCGCTTCAGTATATCTACGGCTCGCTCTCTGCGGGCTTGAATGCGGAAGTGCAGCTTCTGCTCGGTGGGATGCGGAATGGTGTACCCGCAAAAGTCTACCTCCGGGTATCGAGCAATTATCGTCTTGAGCGCATTGCCCAGCGTATGGCCCTCGTTGAAGAACACAAATGTGCGAGATCCCTCGCCATTCTTCTCGTCCCCAGCCAACTACGGATAATCTTAGGATTAACGAACAAGTTGTACGAATGATAATATCAGTTTCTTACCTCTGCAAGGGCGCCCATTTCAGTTTTTAAAAAGGTTATTCCGTTTGTTTACAAAAAAAAAACGTGCCCGACTCCTAAAGATGGAAGTTAATCGATATAACAGCGGACACATCGATCATTTCCATATGCAATAAAAACAATCGAAATAGTTCCAATTTAAAAAGCTTATACATTTTAAAGTAATAAATAATTCAGGCAGAAAAGGACTTCCACATTTGACTTTCAAATAATAAAATTGATCCCAACCAAAAAATATTCCCAGAGGTTATAAATATGATTATAGAATTTAAAAATATCGACTATTCGATTGCGAACTCGCCATTACTTCCTCCTCTAGTTCTGACGCGTTTTAAGCAACCGAAAAGCCGCAGCTTTTGTGAATTTGTATTGTTTGTTAATTCATTTTGCGGCCAATATATTGGGGGCCAGGCTAGCAACAAAAATAAGCTAACCGTAGTTGTAGGCCAACAGAAGTGTCGCAAACAGCCGCATTAGCATAATTGCATCGCACACAGAGTGTGCCGCCTTCGTGTGTATGTGTGTGGTGTGTGCGCGATTTGTTTGAAAGCATCAGCAGAAAAGGCGGCAAAAAGAGGCGAAGAGGAGAGCAAAAAGAAAAAGAAGAACGACACCAACATCGGCGGCAGCACAAAAACAAAAAAAAAATGCAACGGCAAACAATTATTTTCGCAATGCATTAAACGTGAAGTTGCTCCAAAACACCGACACCCCGAAAACGCATACAGCCAAGAAAACGGCACTTCAGCTTTTTCCCCATTTCTTTTGCATCGAGCGCGCGACAGGAATAAACTGCAATACAGGTTTGTTTAATGCACAATGTGCTTATTAATAATACGTTATAAATATGTACGCATTATTGAACGATCCACAGTAAGTGTCATTTTAATGAATTCTCTTTTTTGGCAATGACTGCCACGCCCCCTTGTCGGTCCCGAAATTATGCAAATTCATACAGCAGCGTGCTGTTGCACGCACACAGTCGCAAAAAAGGCAGCTGAGACGTCAACGTCGCTGCCGGCGCATGCAAAGGCGGAAGTGTTCGAAAAAACAACAAAAAATACCAGTTCACAGAGGCAGGCTTTGGATTTAGCAGCTCCACTTCGCCTGCTGTTCTGTTTTCTTGTCGTTGTCGCTGATACACTAAGCTTTATTAAATAAACAATTGTAGAATAATTGTAAAAAATCCATAAAATAAGTCCGATTCTGCTTCATTTTTTAAATAAAATAAAAAGAGTTTTAGTTTTTGGTTAATGATTATTAAGAATTAGAAGTATAAGCTTCTTATCTTAATTAGAAATGTACAATGGAGCCAAAAATATACTAAAGACTCTGATTATTGTAAAAAAAAGGTTGCAAATAAATTTAAAAAAAATCTGGGTTTGGAAACAATTTTCTAATCTTTTAAGGCAACTATTCTGAAAACATTCTTTTTATCCTGATTGCAGACGTAGTATACATTGTTTTATTTTTAAATAAATAGATATTTCAAGTTTATTATTTCGGCATTTGCCATCGCTTATAGGCAATATTTACTGTAATGAAATTTCCACTGGTTGCTAAGCCGTACTGCTGTTTTCTCCCTTCCCACCACGGCATCCTGCTGGCTCCTTTGCACTCATTTGTTTCGTGGTAGCACACACACTCTCAGGCGTACACATCTGTTGTTGGTGGTGACTAATCGGCAGCATGTTCCGTTATCTCATGCGTTTCCCCTCCGCGCGCCCACGCCAAAAAGCTTGTGTTGTAATAATCTACTTGTTAGTGTATGTGTCTGCTGGGTGCACGCTTGTCTCACGTTTCGTTTGGCGCCATGCGTTCCCCCCAATTTGCAGTTGTTGCAATTTGGTCTAGGCTGTGTTTCATTCCCACTTCGTTTCCCCCATTCGGCCCTTTTCTTGTTGTTGCGTTTACAATGCTGCAGTGCTGCGTGTATGTTTGTATGTATATTTTCCTGCCGGCGTTTGTCCGTGAGAGAGTATGTGTGTGTCAAGAGGCAGCCAGGCAGCTGCTCTCTCCTGGCCAAAAAAAGGGGTTCGCTCTCGCTTCTCTCCTGCTTCCTTTTCCCTTCCCCTCGTCGTAGCTCTATTCTCTTTTTTTGCGCCTGCAATTATTTGGCTTTGTGGTGGTTACAACAAAGGAACTGCATTTAAGCGTCACGATCGTCGCAAAAAAAAAGAATAAAAGAAGTGCGAAATGGTTCTGGGAACACGATACAGGGGTTCTCATTTGGCCCGTGCAAATACACACACACAAACAGTACATTTATTGGCAGATAGACGAACAGCTGTGGTCAAAATAATAGCACTAACTTTCCTTAATTTTTCATTATCTTAAGCTATAGCTTTCAAGGTCCAAGAATTAATATAAAATTTGAATTTTTCGTTGTTAGATATGAACATTATTTGTAAATAATTTACTTACTTTCTCGAAATTTACTAAACAATTGTTTGTTTAATATTTTGAAAACAAAAAACATTTGTAAAAGATCAGTTCGATTTTATTTACCACCACTGTATTTGGTACACCTATGTATATGTAATTATATACATATGGAAAATAACTTTCCTAGCATTTATTCGCGAAACTGATTCGTAAACAATTTCCGCACTCCGGACCCTTGGGTAATACTGTATGTACTTTTGTATGTCTTCTAAAGCCAGGGGTACCTGCACAAAAGCCATACTTGCACGTGCAAATAAATGTGAGACACAGACGATGAGCTCTCCCCGGAGTGATATATTCTTCACCTGGGGACATGAATATTGCAAAAATCTATTTGATATACAAAATACTTGCCAGAATGTTGCAAGAGCCATGCTGACAACAGGCTATAGTGGTTATACAGTTAACACTGTTTAAAGAAGGAAATATTTCATACATGTATGTGTAGCGATGTTTTAATAGTGAGCTTTGATACATATATACATAAATAAATAATAAATAATAATAATAAAAACTGCTAAAGATAAACCAAAAAGCTTGTTGCACTTCAGAGGCTGTTGATGTTTTCGAGGTACCACTGTGTGAAATATTTCCAAGGATGCTTCAGACATCGAAAGCCACACAAACTAAATAAAATAAAATAAAATAAAATACACAGACATCAGAAGGGAGGGGTCAGAAGAGGATGTAGGGGAGGAGGAAGAATATCAGGAAGTGGGGGAAAGGGGGCCCGAGGGATCCGGGTTCAGAAGCAGACAAGAAAGACGAAATGGCAATGGCACAAGACGGAGAAGGAGATGGAGAGCATAGAGCGGAGAACGGAGAACGGACACGACAACGTGCCAGGCCAGCATCCTGTGCAGTGAACTACAGTGGAGATGGGGAACACAAAGAAGCAGGAGGTGGAAAGAAAGACCAGAAAACCTGTCATCTGCCGCCGGATGAAAGAGAGGGAGAACGAACAGGCCAAAGGAGACGAAGGATGGATGGTTGGTGGTACTGCAAGCATTTTTAGAATTCCCAAAATCAACATAAAAAACCAAGCGAATGAGCGATGGTGGCCAGACGACTAAGAAGAGCAAGGAAGTCCTCTCCTTCCCCTCTCACTCTCTCACTCTCTGCTCCTGGCTTTCCTCCATCCCCCGCCTTGGTGTGAGTGCGTGATCGCAGCCCAGACGCAGCAGCAGCGTCGCCAGCAGAGAGGCAATCCATGGTACCTACACACACACACACACACACACACGTTGCGTTTATCGCCAGTTTCCTCTTTGGTTTTCTGTTTCCTAGCTGCCTCTGCCTTCCACATAGGATATCGACATTTTGCAATGTCATAAAAAAAAGGACAAGGTAGCTGCAGTTCAAAATTCAGGTTCCCAGGACTCTGCGGCTTGTTTCGGCACATTGATTGCCAATCGGGACAGCTTGTTCCATTTGTATATTCTTTGTGAAAAATTTAAAATGTAACTTTTTAAAATTTAAATATTCGCTTAAGAAAACTTGAAAAATAGTAGTAATTAGACTATAAGTTTAAAAACTATTATAATTAATGTTAGATATCTTAAAAACTGGACTGTATGGGGATTATTTTTTTATTGGTCTATAAATATACTTGACTTTAAAATTTTACATTTATTTAATTAAAAAATTAATTTAAATATTAATTTTAATAAATAATTTAAATTAAATTACTATAATTTTACCTTAGAAATTTGCATACCATTTGGCAGGTAGAATTTTATGTATTTCCGCAATTTCAGATGCATTTTAGGAAAAATAACATACAAAAGCAGTAAAGTTCTTTGTGCCATTCATTTGAAATCTATGATTTTTTGTTGTTCTTTCCTTTGCATATTATTTGTAAATTTTACTCGTTCTACGCTCGAGGAGATTTGCATAATACGAAGTTAGGGGCCGTAAAATGTGTCCGATGCCGTCTGTTGCCATCGTCCATATTGCTGATGGGCGTTGAGCTCAGTGTTGTGCATTGGTGGTGGTTGCTGCGAGTCCTCCAAGGACTAACATCCCCTGTGTGTCCTGTGCCTAGTTTCATTTCATTTTCGTTTCACTTTTTTTGCTCTGTTGCTTCCACACTTTTATTGTTGAACTTTACAGCTGCCGCTCGTATTTATTTTGTTTTTATTTCTCTTACAACTTGCATTTCCCTTTCGCGTCCTGGTCCTTCGTCCTCGCCCTCGTCCTCGTCCTCGTCCTTTCTTCATTATTTTTGGCAAGGGTGGTTGGACTTGTATGGAACTTATAGCGCTTTGTATGCGTCTGACTTTGATCCTTTTTTGTTGGGGGTGGCACGACTACGACTACGTCTGTCTGGCCACCCCCTCGACTCGACAGAGCGGCATTAGGGAAAGTGTCTTGCAAATAAATAAATAGTCATGTCAGCCATATTATTAATGCCCAGGAAGGAAGGAAGGAAGGTAGCGTAAGGTTCGCATGGGTGAATGGATGGTGGTGATGGTAGTGGTGGTGGGTGCTGGGCGGGCGGCGCTAATCAACCCTCTGGGGGTGCGGCAAAAGGAATGAGGAACGCATCTTACCCCAAAAATCAAGCACATCAAATACAGTGATGCCTAGGAGAGAGGAAAGATTAGTGATTGGAAATTTCAGTATTATTTTATGCATTTATT